CGCACAATATCTAGGTCGTTGCTCTACGTAATGAAGTCTATATTGCTGAGCCAAACTAACTGATATTATACATATAAATATTGGGATACTCCGCTCATTATCTTTCGAAATAAGGAACCGACACAAGCTTTGGTAACATACGCTGTAATCACACGAAAGGGTAAAAGCCGCATAGATATGAATACAGACAAAAAACAAGTAACTGGACACGGCAGTACCCATAACTGCCATGAACTACGCCTAAAACCTAAGGCCAAGATGAGTCTGAACTTTTGTTGCCCTCAAGGAGCTGAACAAGGGACATAAGCGCCCTTTTCAGGCCAGAATCGGAAGTCCCACATAAATCCATCAGAATCGAATCCACAATTTTATCTAGACGGGCGTGGATATCAGCACTTCTCCTTCGTAAAAGACGTTCTTTTATACGTAACTGTGAGGCTTTTGATAGATGAAGCCCTAATCTTGTCCGTGCTTTGTCCGAGATACCATCCGCGACGACTCCGGTAGAGATTGGGTTGCTGTTCGTATTCTCATATGTTCCCAGCGCAGACAGGTATATCTGAGCAATGAAAGCAGCGCACAGCGAACTGAGTTTCTCGATAGATGCTGTCGGAAAAATATCCTGAAACGGGTGTAGGAGGGCTTTTTCTGTCGTCGAGCGCACAAATATAATGACTGGCGACGAGAGGGTTAAGTCTGATTGAGGGTTTTGCATTATTGAGGTTTCGAGGTGATCAATTACCCATCCTACACTCCAGGATGTTGCCTTCACGGGTTTCTTGTCTCTGCTTGGGATTGCCGGAGAGTCCAAGGGAAATTTGGAACCCGTGGGAGTACAGGGTGATGAGCAGCTTCCTTTGGTACTCCCGAATACGGATTCACTCTTCCGCAATGAGGACTTTTTCTGTATCCATCGGGGAATTTGGTTCTTGAAACTCAATCGCCGCCCTAGTAGGCTCCGGGAGACATCTGCCGACCTGTCGCCCAGAGGTGATGGGGTTATGTCACCAGTAGAGGCGTAAGATCCTTGGGTCGCGTAGCCGCTGTCATCACAAGAAGTGTAAGACTGTTCACCGCGCGACGAAAGGCTCAAGGTACTTGGTTCAGATGACAGTTGCTCAAAATTGGGAAACTCATGTGCAAATTCATTCGCATCAGACTTGACATGTGAAGTAGCGCGACGGGTAAAGGATTTCGGGATTGTGATCAATTTGGGCTTCGCTACGCTGATCCTTATAGGTTTCTGTAATTTGCGTTAGTGCATGAGCAGCTTGTGTGGATTAAATTCACTGGAATCTCACCGCAATCTCGGCTGATTCACTTAAATTTTCCGATGAGCCATGGTATCTACACTGCACGATTTGGCACTTTCGCTTCTTAGCTTTAAGCGGCTCATGAGTATCAATATTCCCGTAATGTGCGCTGATAAACTCCCCAAAATGCCAATATTCTTCAGTCGCGAATGCTTTGATTGGAGGGCTGGAGATTCTTCTGGAAAATGTAGCAGACGGTTGGAGAGGTTGAGAGGATGGTTGCTCGTTTCGAGGTTGTTCAGGCGTGACAATCTTGGTAGAGCCGTTTGAACAACTACGGCTGGCGGGGGGATCAAAGCTTTCGTGTGGGACTCCAGGAGAATATTCTTCACTATGACGAGCGTCCAAATAAGGAACAAACGTTCCGCCCATGGTTCCTCGCATTGGAAGGCAATCGGACTTCGCCAACGGAGAAGTTAGCCCGATGCAGTTGGAAATTGGCTGTCGGGTAAGGGCGCGTCGTGATCCGGGTTGCAGAAACGTCGGCACAGATAAGTGAGACTCCAGTGTATCCATACGCTATGCGCCAACTGGACATTAATTGAATGCTTAAATGTTATTATCCAAACTGACGGGGTGAAGATAATAATTAGACAATCGCCTGGGGTATCCGCTGGGTTGTAAGAAGAGATAAGTTGATGGGAAAGAAGCCGAAGAGCACTTCTCCTAATAAGTTAGCGGACCTTCCAGGTTCATCATAGCTGAGACTTCCGAGTCCTAATAAATATGACGCCAAAAGGGAACGTTTCTGTATGCCACATCTGTTGAATGAAAATAAAACCAACAAGTGCAAACGGTTGGCATGGCTAAACGAAAGCCAATAAGTTCAGTTCACAGCACACCTTCGCCAAACTACGTTCCCAACTTTGAGCGAGCATAAGTTGAAACAATACAAATCAACGGCACCACCACCGCTGCGTTTAGGTTATAAAGAAAAACATTTTTAAAAGGGAAAAAAAAAGTGTGAGCTAGAAGGATAGAAACAATAGTGGCCAAAAGCCAGGGGAACTATTGCAATTTGAAATCCTGAAATAAATGAAGAACCAGGACAGCTATCCATAAGGCTGTCAGGAACGGGTTGAGTGATGATGCGATGACTTGCCAGCCGATGCCGCTAAAACCGCCTAGGCTTGCCCATTAATATTGCCAACATCAAGATCGTGACCGCACACTGGAAAAGTGGAGAGACGTTGGAGTGTTACTGGAGGTGTTCCTGGGGCCGGTGCAGGTACCATAAACACCGCCACTGCTGAAAATTGGTTAATTCCCCACAAAGTTTCAATCATATTCCTAAGATTTCATTTCAATCCCCTGTCTACCTTTGGCCCCTGAAGGCCCATAAACTCAGGAGAGAAAGTCAACAGCCAAGCGGCATTGCCCGTTGGACCGTCGCAGAATGGCAACAGTGGGCTTTTAATAAACAAAGAGCAGGGCAGTTTGACACAACCAGCTGCCGGGGATAAAAGTGAAAGAAAGAAAGCTATTTGGCGAGTTGTTGGAAATCTCTTTGACAAAGTTGTGATTGAGGTTGGTTTTTGCCTGATTGGGAACAAGGTTGGTTGGTTGCTTATCTCGGCTAATAGATGATCCGACATCTGATAAGAGATCCTGCAAGCAAACAGGACAAACAGAACTCTGCCATTATTTGAAAAAAAAATCCATTGAGCATATATGTTCAGCATACATAGTACTACACTACTGTATATATAATCTACGAGAAGACGGATTCAAGGGGATCAACAACTGGGAAATTATAGTCCCGGAGATATTCTTTCAGGAGCGGAAACCTCCTTTCAATCCTAAATGCTCTCCGAGAGCTTTGTTGCGTCGTTCCTAACGTCCAACAACCAACAAATCTCGCCCGCGCTCAAGGATGCTGGGATATGCCTCCATGAATTTCAGCCGGCGCAATCACTTCGTCTAACTTTTAAGAAGAGCTCCACTGATTCCAATTGCTTGGCTGTGGGTAGTTCACACATATTCGCGTCACAAGCCGGCAAAGCGGTCGTTCATGTGTACAGCCGGGAGAAGAATAATCAGGAAGCGACCGTACCTTTTCCGGAGCGAATTCGAAGTCTCACATTAGCAGGAGGATTAAGCGAACCCGGATTGCTAGTCCTGGGTACGGAAGGCGGGAGGATTATTGTGTGGGAGGTTAGTGAGCGTCCTGTTGAAGCCTTTTTGCTCCAAAGCTCTCATTATTTGGTCCCTAACTTTTTCTTGTAGACATGCACAGGGCGCCAAATATCGACAACAGCCTCCCATTTACAACCCGTTACTTCGTTGATCGTAGACCCAACCAACAATTTCATTTTGTCTGGTTCGGAAGATTCAAATATCCATGTCTGGGCGATCCCTCTTTTAACCTCCTTCTCTCGTTCATCCAGCTCCCAGACACAAACACAATCCAATTCCCCGCTCCGGACATTTTCTCACCATAGAGCACCAATTACGAGCCTTGCGGTTGGCCATAGCTGTAGCAAGAATAATGTTGCGATTTCTACGTCCCGCGACAATACCGCCATTGTATGGGAATACCGAACCGGAAAACTATTACGCACATTCCTCTTGCCAGCAACCCCGCTGTGCTCGGCTGTGGACCCCGCAGACCGTGCATGTTATGTCGGATATGACGATGGTAGCGTTCAAATAATATATTTCTTCAAAACGCCTTCGATCCAAAACGTACTTCACGACAGTAGCCAACAGTCCACCCCCTCACAGCTCTCAGCAAATGAGCGATGGCTTCCACCCAACCTTGATCTGGGCGCAGCACAATGCCTCACGCTCTCATATGATGGAATGACACTTCTATCAGGTCACAAGGGCGGAGCAATTGTATGCTGGGATATCGCCAAGGGAAGATATGCCTCGACCCTAACCACTTATGGTTGTCCCGTAACCAACCTGCAGATGCTGGCGCCGACTGGCTTCGTCCAAGAGAGCAGCGAGTCGACCAGATTAACTATCCACAATATTGTCAAACCACGCTATGATCATGCCCTTTCAAATTCGGCACAACTTGGAGACGTTATTCCAGCGACATACACTTTCCAAGCTCACCTCACCGGTCCACTGCATCTAGACAACTCCCAACCAACAGATGAGTTCTCAGAAGCGCTAACCCATCCGCTTTTCCCTCCATCCTTGATATCAGAAGGGCTAGCTGAGCTTTCTGCCCTTGAAGCTGGCACCACCAGCTCGACAACGAACGGTCAAATATCTCAACCTGCGGCTCGAGAAAACCTAGATACTTCCAAAGTTCAATCGCTGGAGGAAGAAATCGCACATTTGAAGAAACAGGGTTCCCTCCAAGAATTAGCAACTAGAGCCAGCGTTGAGGAGCTGGTAAAACTCCGGCAACATATCGCCAGTCTAGAAGATGAAAACAACGAGCTCTATGAGAGACAGCAAAAGGCAAAACAGGCCAGGCTAGAGAAGCAAGCGCGGCAGGAAGAACGTGCGCTCAAACGTAGGAAGGCATGGTTTGAGGCTGAGAAGAAAGGGGAGAATGGAGATGCGGTCATGCGAAAAATGGAAGCTAAGGACGAAGAAGATACGAGCGACGCAGACATTATGAGTAGTGGCGATGATTAAATGTGCTTTTTATACACCTACCTGGAGTGGAGCTTTACTTTTGGCTCCTAACGATATCATGGGAAGGTAACATTTTGCTTTCAATGTCACGTGTTTTGCTACAAAAAGGGGGTGCTGGAAATAGGGGTTCCGGAGTTTCCCATCTTAATTCATGTTGGGTTAATATATTTTGAGATACAATTTTTGGGCAAGGCGATGGACCACATATTCTGTTGGGCTCCTTTCACCTAAAAATCATCATATCTATCGTCTAGCTAGCGAACTCAAATGGTGGATTGATACTCTCTCCACGAACTATGGGCAACTACGAGCATATGAAACCATGAGTTTTGCTTTAATGTCTAATTAACAGATCGTTCATCAACACCAGCGAGGCCACAGATCGCATAAAACTTTTTCAATATATCTGCAAGGGGTATCTAGAGCCAGCCTCACTTCTTCCGGAATGATTGCACAACAACTTCCCGCAATATTCCCAAAGCCTGACTAGTATCAAACGAGCAGCACCTAAGAAACATTACCTTCAACCACACCCTTCAGCCCCATTAAACCTAGCCAAACTGCCTCCTCCGTCCTGATGGTCCGACTTCCCTGGCCCGGAACCACATTAATCCAATAATCAAACATCTTCTCAGCCTCACTCGGTTTCAGGCCCTTTTCCTGCAACTCTTTATCTGCCTTTACCGCAGCTTCAAGACCTGCTACACCACCAAATACAATAATGAGATGTTCAGACTTGGGCACATGTCCTGCAATGACATCGGATAACGGGGCACCCCGTTCCGATGTCCCAAAAGACAAATCATACCCACCTTCAAAGGGGCATTCGGTAAACACGGTAGAAAGCGAGGAGCATCGTCTCACCGAATACCCCCAGTAGTAACCCATTTCTTCCCGCGGTGTAACAGGTGATACCACCTCAGCAACTTCTGATGGATCTTTTGATGCCCCGAACTTGACAGTTACTCGCGTATTTTCCGGCGCAGGGATATGAGGCACGCGAGATTTCTCTGGAAGACCTGTATTAACCAACGTATAAGAAGTTGATGAGCCCTGTCCTTTCTTTTCCTTATTTTTCTTTCCTTTCTTTCTTTCATGGTTCGTATTGCCATATTCCCTAGCCGTTCTAGCATCCGCTTGCTCCTCGCTAGCCGAGACAGTAACGCCCTCTCGATATTCACACCATTCATTTGCTCGTATGTGATGCGGCATATCCAAGCTCGGTAATGTTCCCGCCGTTCGGAGATTTCTATGCATGGGGAATAGGTATTTTCGGAGATAGGGCGGGGTTTCTAGGTAGGAGAGGACGTGTGCGAGGAAATGTGAAGGGTCGGAGTAGGCAGTGTATTCATCTTCGTTTGCATTATGGTAGGGTTTGGATCGTGTTTGGCGGGCATCGTCGTCGAATATTACGACCTCATCGACGCAGAATACTGCCAGCGCACGGGCGATTGAACCTGCTAGGAATGTTTTTTGGTCGTGCGATTGGGCGCTGGTTGACTCTTTGTCAGCGCATGTCCTCCTTACGTCCGTTCGATGAACGGTGCGAAAGGCTTACTTTGCAATGATGCTCCCCGGAAGAGCGATGCTCAATGTTTGTGATCTTCCTCCGCGGGGGGTAAATACAGCTGTGGGTTTCGAAGTATCAACCTCAATGCCGCCGTTAGGTTCGGAAGGCTGTTCGTGAACAGTCTTTCGTTTCTGTAAATTTCACATGAAATTAGGATATGTAATTGAGGGCGAGCACATTGAGCTTTAGGCATGTTTCTTCCCCATCCATACCTTTGATTTATGCATAACCAGCTCCCAAGTCCTTTCAAAATTTATGGGGTTGATTATTGTCTGGTTGAGCGCAGATTAAGATTTATCCACAGCCCGGCCCGGAGGCGAGAGATAATTTAGTAGTAGATAGATAAAAGTACTTTTCCTAACAAGTTTGGCAAATTTGCGTTTTTCTGCAAGAGGTGAAGAAGCTATCTTGAGTAAAGTTTATCTCAGCCTCAGACCTCTTGTTCTGCGCGGCCAGCCACCGTGGCACTAGACTACTTTTGTCAAGCCACCAGATAAGATAAGATTGATAGTGTAAGTAATAAAAAAGCAACTTCACTCGCTCTACCTAATGAGCTTAATCTGAAATAATTATTAATAGGTACTCACCGTACCCACCGTACTCTGCTGATTCTTTCGAGTTTGTGTACGGAGGATCCTTTCAAAAATTTATATGATAACAGTATTTTACAGCTTAAATTTTTAGTGCTAATCAAAACTTTTGATGAAAGGTTCATTTCTTGGTGTGAGTCTGATCAAGTAAAAATGAGAAAATGATTTCATTTAATCTCATTCAATCTCATTCTTGACATAAAATTACTACTTTTTAGAAAATTTAGTATTTATTTTTAAATTTTGAAAAAGTAATGATTTTTGATAACACTTTATGATATTTAAAGTGATTTAAAACAATAAAAAGAAATCAAAATATTAGAGTATGAATACTGATCTCATTTAATGACTAAGATCACTTCTAAATAGTAGTTTCACCGACACTATATGAGACCACTATCTCTGATATATATTTGAGATCAAGAACCAATCTCTCTGATCAACAGAATCATGAGAAAGTTCAGTCCTGGTCTTAGACACTGTCACACTGTCTCACACAGGCTGACACAGCCAGTCAGTCTACTCTGTAAAGTAATAGAGAATTCAATTATCTTTTAGGGCCTGTTCGGTGCGGCCGTGTGTACTCGTTCTTTTTGTACGGATCTTCACTTTTTTTAAAAAGTACAGCCTCAATATCATGACTGTTCAGTGGATTGAGCAGCTGTACTTGCATCTTTTGCCAAGATCTTATGAATAAGCAGTATTTAACTTCAACAGTGTGTGATGATGTAGAATAGCACTTTTAGAGGCAATATAGTGTAGAATAGTGTAGAATAGTGTTCATAGTGGAGATAGTTAACTAATTAGTAATATTGGTTAGAAGAAAGCTCTCTGGACTCCGTTCAAAAAGAACATGTTTTTGTGAGCTTCCTTTCTCCATCCCAGAGCAGTGGGCAAGGTGGAATAGTGTGGTGGCACAACGCCGGCTTGCTACTAATAATTGGTAAATACACTATTTTTAATGAGATCCACTATTGCGTTCAAAAAGTACGGACGCACCGAACAGGCCCTTAATGAAACTAATTTTTATTTTCGTATCTCTAGATTTAAAATATGAAATATCAGTTTAAAGAGAAACTATACGTTTTTAAACACTACTCATATGATATCATTTCTCATATAAAAAACTCCGTACATGAATTGCAGAGAGAATGAAATATAATCATTTTCAACAGTATATATTGATATTAACTATTAATCTTTTTAATAGATTAATTATCCATTTCTGTTCTTCTTCTCCTTAGCTATAATTCATGCACGAATCTTAAATGTATGATTGTTGAGAAATTTAAGCTCAAAAGTTGTGTGTAAAATCAAGATTCTCTAAAAATTTGAAATTTTTCCACTTCTCAGACTTCTACTTGGGAGCACTGGACATCCCATCCTACTTTGTTTCTGACTGACTTACTTCTACTCCGGCTACTCTCTATCTGTATATGAAATTTCCTCTCAAAGCGCTGATTACCAAAATCGCCCATTGCGAGCTTTGCACTTTGACAATAGGTAAACAACCCGATGCTGTGAAGTCCGCATCTGCCTCTGTGAGCAATTAACTTAGTTACTGTATGGCTCGCTTGATAAATATTATATCCAATGGCCCAATTCACCTTAAACGTAAAATCAATATCCTGTAACACATATAGAACATTTACACAAGTGCTTTATTTCATCAACAGCCAAGCCAGTACACTTCTGAAGGCAAAATCCATCCGCACTCACATCCTCCCCACACAATAAACTCCTCTCAATAAACCCCATCTCCTCCAGTTGCACTGCCCTCTTTTCCCGTCAGTTCATCCACTATCTTCACCCCAGCACTGGCTCCAATCCTCTCCGCCCCAGCCCTAATCATTTGCACACAATCTCCCGACGTCCTCACACCACCGCTAGCCTTAACCTTAACCTCTTTCCCAAGAGCTTCACAGACTGACCTCATCAACGCAACATTCTCCACGCTAGCCCCGGGCCCATTGAAACCCGTACTAGTCTTGACAAAGTCTGCCCCAGCAAGACAGGATATCACACATCCCGCAACAACCTGCTCGCGGCTCAATTGCGACGTTTCAAGAATGACTTTTAAGCCAACTTTTCCGCCAGCATTGTTACTGACACATTCAGAAGCATGGTTTGCTGCTTTGCGCACCGCGAGGACATCCGCATATACCTCTGTATATTTTCCTTCCTTTAGCAGTGGGTAATTGATAACCATATCCAGCTCCGATGCACCATCGTTGACTGCATTTTGGGTTTCGGAAACCTTTTCTGCTGTACTATACGTTCCCTCATGGAAACCGATGACACATGCTACGCCGATCGCAATTTCCTTCAACCGCGCAACAGCGCGTGAGACATATTTTGCACGTACGCAGACGGTTGCAAAGTTGTAATTGATGGCTTCGGCACAGAGCGTGTCGATTTGAGCTTCTGTGGCAGTGGGTGCGAGTTGGGTGTGGTCTATTGTCTGAGGTATCGAAGTCTGAGGGTCTGTCGGGGGTGGATAGTTCGCTATATTTGTTTCAGGGAGGGCATTTAGCGTTTGAGAGATTAAAATCCTCCATTCTGAGTCAGTTGTGGGAACCGGAGTAGCCATTTTATGTTATATGGACAGTTGCACTTGAATTATGCTATTTTTCATAGACACAAGCTGAGCATGTCCTCTTCCGCGTGATTTCGTGGTTGTTCTCGAAGACCTGTGAACTTGTATTAGCTTGGTTTGTATTGAATATGAACTTTACCTAAGGTTATTCTACAAAAACAACAAAGGGATGACAGAAGACAAACATAATTTTAAGTACTCAGGCAAGAATATGATACTAGGTCTCTATGACTGTAACTATGGAGAGGTAAGGAAGCCCGCTATCCACAAGACAGTATGCCAGAGAGGCAGACGCCACGGCCCCGAGATTTTTGGCACAATTGCAATAGACCCATCACTTGTAGTAATATAATTGAAAGGAACCAACATTGGAGACTAATAAACACACCTGCAACTCAAGCTATAAACAGTCGTTCTAAGCCGGACACAACCTCGCGAGTAGCCAATATCTTGCTTCGCCAGATTAGTTTCAGGTCCTCTCAATCTCCTCTTACTGACCAAATGCAAAATATAAATACAAGAGACAATTTCCCGCAAGCCAAGTGACGCAACGTTTAGGGTGCTATTATTATGTATAGCCAAGGCAGAAGAAGGAGGTTGACCCCTCTTCTCTAGCACGCCCCTCAGTTTCTAGAACGTGACACGGCTTGCCCTAATTAATTTATATCAGTTCCTGGAACTTCCTTTAAGTAGACCATTTACAGGAGACTTGGCATGGGAACAAATGGAAGAATCTTATATGAATAGGGATGGTTCTTCTACCGCGCCCGCCATATGTTGAGCAGCCACCGATCGCGTACTGGTTTACCTCATTATCATGACTTCGCATTTTCTGATAAAAGTCGTGGTTGTTATTTGACTGTGCTGCGAACGCGACAAAGATATCTCGCTGGGCAGACCTCATCTACGGCAAAAAATAATGAATCATACATATGAATATTTATTTATTTAGTCGTGATATAGTAGAGCACAGCGAGGACAATACATTATTATCCTTATCCTCTCTGCCTAACCTCCGAAAAAGAAAAATCCGGCACGTAAATGCAGTCCATTCCTCGCAGCAGAAGCAAGCATCAAGAGCGCAAGGAAGAAAACCGTATTCATTCACCTGCCACGTTAAATCCTAGGCATGATACGAAATAAATAAAAGCAGAAAATAAATAAAGGTATCTCAGTAACTCCTTTCCCGCCTATGGCAATCCGCAAAACCATCCTCTTTGCTCACAACTGTCACCCTACCTCCTGCAACCTCCACTCCCACACTCCGGCCCGCGAATATCATCAACTCGCCCAATACGCCTCGTAGGCCCTCCACCTCCGCCACCACCAGGTCTCTTCCCAGGACCGCCGCCTGGTCCTCCTGGCCCTCCGCCGCCGCCTCCACCACCACCACCTCCTCGCGAACTACCCCACCGAGACCGATGGATTTGGGTATTGTCTATATTCTGAATATTGAACTGGGAGCTTCGGGCGGCCGAAGAAGCATTTAACTAGAGAAGAAGAATAAAGCGGTTAGTTAAAGGCTCTGGTTTGTATGTCTATTGGTAGTATAGAGAAAAATAAAAACGGATCGGATGCTCAATTGGTGGGCAAGCTCAAAAAAAAGGCGTACCGCAAATAGGCTGACGATGTATAATCCGAAGAAGATGTAGAGGTCATCGATGAAGTAGCGGATGCGGGCGGAGATCGGCGGGCTTTGATGAGAGAGTTAGATTTCAGTGTCATTTTTAGTTGAGGGCGAAATTGAGATAGCGACGAGGAGATCTTATCCAGTGGAGGTGCGATCGCATACCTTTCTAGCATACGCCCATTTGAGAGGTAGGGTTTTGGAGATGACATTCTGGCTGTTTTGTCTTCATTCGCCATACTGAACACGGTGGAGGATGCGTTGTGGAAGTTGAGAGATGTTTTGCTTCTGTTAGGTGGTCGTCGCGGCTGATCTGTCTTTGGTTTGTTGTCTTTGGTTTGCTGTCTTTGGTTTGCTGTGCTTGGCGAGGACTGGTCTATTTTTGGAATATTTTAAGTTCTTGTTACTGAACTATTAATTTACATCAGACCAACAATTCCTTTAAACTAACACAATAGCGCTCTATGATATGTAGTGGAGCATGAAAAGCTCAGCCTAATACAGCCTCCGATAAAATGCAAACAAGTGTCCAGAACATGCGAAAATATCGTTCTATACAAATCCCAGCGCCTCTAAAACCCGAGTAAAGAAGGCTTCTGCATTTAGGATTTGTTGACAGCCCCCAATTCATTAATAATAGCCATCTTTCCATCTTAACCCATCCTCAACTGTCCATTTTGCACTCGTGAGCGGATGAAGCACCCCGCAGCTCGCACCAACAACAAGAAGTCCTGGCGGTCTCGATCCTTCCTCCTGAACGGCCAAACAGACATGTTCAAGCGTTGACCGTATAACTCTTTGATCTGCGCATGACGCTCTCTCAATCACCGCGCAGGGGGTATCCTTCGGCCATAGGACTCGGGACGCAGCACTCTCGTCCCCTTCAGCACGACTAGTAAGTGATTCGATGAGAGAAGAGAGTCTGTGCAGCGCCATCAAGAAAACCACCGTCTGTGTAGGTACATAGCTAGGTGGCTCTGGTGCTGCTCCTTTGCGCCCCGTGCCAGTGCATATCAATACTTGGTCGGCAACACCGCGGTGCGTCGCGGGTATATCCGCAAAGAGTGGCGCGCTCAATGCACTGGTGATTCCTGGAAGAACAGCGGGAATATATCCCTCCCTTCTGAAGAAGTCGTACTCTTCGGCTCCACGGCCGTACAGATATGGGTCACCTTGCTTCAGCCTTAGCACCGTTCTACCTGCTCGCAGGGCAGTTATGCCCATTTCGAGTAATTCTTCTTGCGCCTTATCGGCGTTCCCAGGGAATTTCCGGGCGATATGGACTTCCGTTCGTCGAGGGATAAGATCTAGCACGGGGGCCGGAACCAATTTGTCGGCTAAGATGAGATCTGCATTTTTGATCGCGTTGTGTGTTGCTTTAGTAAGAAGGTCCGGGTGCCCAGGTCCGGATCCTGCAAGGATGATTTTTCCTTTCTTTGGTGGTAAAGGTAGGCCGTCTTCCAACGTGGAAGAGGCTGTGCCGCTCGTCGATCGATAAGCTCCAAGTATGGCTTCCATATCAGCACCCGTGATTGAGGCTAACCGACGAAGCGGCCAATATTCACATATTTGAGACAGCCAACGCATTCTACGAGTTTTAGCAGCCTCGCTCTCCTCAGACGTCACGAGTGAGTTGAAGGTATGTTTCTGAGCGGTCGAGTCATCAGCCTCGAATGGCAGATTTTCAGGAGCTATATCTGGGCTATGGTCTTCTTCCCAGATACGTCTCCTAACTGTGCCGAGTGTTTCAACGGCGGCGCCGAGTCCAGATGGGAGATAGGCGGCTATTTCCCGCCGTATGCGGGCAGCTAATTTGCAGCCTCTGCCAGAGGTCGTGATGCCAATGTGAAGCGGGCCATCAGAGTAAGTGGAGAGTAGTGTAAATGTGCAAAGATCTGGAGCATCTGAGACATTTACTGGTATCCTTAACCGACGGCAAAGATGATATATGCGAGAGCCTTGAAAGGAGCCGTTAACACATATAAATATACGCGAAGAAAGGAAATAAAACTTACTCAAAGGATTCTGAGGCCCAAGAGTAATAAACACAGCGTCGACATAATTATCCACCTCGTTTCTTCCCAGGGTTTTCAAATCTTCATCTTGAAACTCTCTTCCAATATGGCGCACCCGTCCATCCTCAACCTTCTGCAGAAGGGGTGCATGAATTTCCACACCTTCAGGCGCAATGACAATGGGAATTGCCCCGATGTCAAGACACTTGGTGCATCGGGCAGCTGCCAGCGGGTTTGCGCCCACGATTAGATGCACCTGGTCTTTCACATCCAAGGCTGCTAACATGGGAGCTGGCCCAGGTGACTCGTGTCGCAGGTCTTTCATGATGTGAGCTGAAATGTTGATTGTGGTTTTTAACCTTTCAACTGCCGGTTGAGCAGAGAAATAGAGAGAATGCAATCTGTAGCAGTCTGTAAAGCTCTGACAATGAACGGCGAAGGAAACGAAGCAACAGATTTAAAAATATAAGGAAGCTCCGTGTGCATATATCAACGACATATCTGGATATAACTATATGCACAATTTTCTCAGAGAAGTATTTCACACCTGGGCAGGGGACTTTGATAGGGGCGATCGAGGAGGGCTTGTAGACAGGGGCTTAAAACAAGAGATAACGATTTCAACGAGTAATAAACTTTAACAATTAAGAGTGGAAAATAACAAGGCGTAGAGAGGTGTCTTATATTAAGGCAAAAAATATATCAAATATGAAATATGAAATATTCTATCTATCTAGGCACTGATTATCTACTATTCTTTTTCTTCTTTTTAGGATGGCGTGATCGAAGTAGTTGCGATTACGTAATAAGTCATGTGAAGAGTTAGTTACCAACTTGGGGACGTTTTTTATACCTCCTTATCTGATTCTTCTCAACCTTTTATTTCCCTTCTATTTCCCCATTTTCCTTTTTTGCAAGAGATGTGCTGGGAAAGGAGATGCCGAGGTCAGTCAGATCAACCGCGACTAATGATGGCGGGCACCTCGGTTTTCCCATCCTTTATCTGGCTTAAATATCTCGGGATATTAAGAAGTCCAAGGGTGCGCGTAACACCCAGGGAGGGGAGGCATAGAAAGAGCGTCTATATAATTAAACAACACTGATAGTGATCGTTCTATGTCTCGCACGTTTCAGATCTTTGTGCATGGAAAAAGAAAGTAGCTATCCCGGATGCTTCTGCCCATCCTCGAATGGATTTTGATGGAAGCCAACAGTTATGTCCTGGTGACAAGGGTGGTTTCGTGTTTATGCTGAGAATTTGATGTTTCGGACCCCCCTACCTCCGGGTCAGATTTCAATCAGAGCTAGTTAGGAGTCTCACGCTCATTCTTAGGAAGCTAACAAGGTAGAATCCCGAAGATAAAGACAAGGTCACGTTTCGCGATAAAATTCAGTGTTAGATCAGCTTTCCAGATTTCAATTGAGACTAGTTTATACATCTCTAACTGTTTCTAAGGATGTCAACAATGAAATACTGACCACATGCATCGACATGGAGTTCGGCGTGTGGAAATTATTTTGTCGGGAGGTCGATCAGCACTAATCGTAACTCTTTTGCTGATTTCTTGGGATGTCAACAGAGGAATATCCTGAAGATAAAGACGACATGTCTGATGATGGGATGGAGTTTGAGAAGTTCTTTGATGGGCTTCGATCAAACCTGCCCACATATTTTTTTGGTAGCAGACATGGGAGGCTGTTACAGAAGAGAATGAAAGTAGAGGCAAATCTTTCATGCGAAGACCAACGGGCCTTGTTTGTTGAACCGAATGGCGAAGAGGAGATTCTCCACCGGGAAGTATGGGTCGGGGGAAATCCCAAGGAAGTGCAAGAAGCATAAATAACAGAGCATTGCAATCATTGATAGAGAAAGAAAAGGTCAACTCAATCTGTAAAATTTGTGAAGAGCAGCGTAGTTGTGACTTGAGGGCCTGGAAATCTATCCGAAAACTGGACGTTTTACATCTTTTTGAGAAAACTTACATTCCCATCGAAATCAAAACTTCGACAAGTGAGCATCATTCCCAAATTGTATTAATATTTTCGCAGGAACATATAACACTTGCACAGGTTTCATTGCTGATGAGAGACACAGGTACCATCCGAGAAGACGCAGGCTTAACCGCAACCCTGACAATATGGGGCCACGCATTCACGACTATGAGCCACTCGTGTACCTCACATTTCTGAGGCTTGAGGAGAGGCGGATGGATCCGATTGTGGACAATTTTAGTTTGGATTGGAGAAATCTCTTTAAGAGATTGAAAGAGGTAGACGGCACGAAGGAAATATGGTACCTTCGAGATGAGGTCTATCAATCATTTGAAGTTGACATGTTTGCGGTAATAGGTAAGCGAAGCATAAGAGCTTTCCTTGTATTGGCTTGGCTAATAATTAGCTGGTAGAGTGCGCAGAAACAACTGCAATGGAGTCTGTGCACGAACTTTTGGAGTACGGATATCGATATCCAGGGCGAGCAGCGTACGCTATGAAGGAGTGGTTCACAATCCCCATGAAGGAGAAGGATTTCGAAGACCTCAAAAGACCGCATGAGAGCGTCGGAGAGACTGTCCTGAATATGCAACTACTCGACTACAGTGGGCTTGAGCAACAAGCCATCGATCAAGTGGAAGATAAGCTGCAAGAATTTTTTGAGAGCCGGCATCACGCAGGGTTCACATTTGATCGTATTGAAGCGAGATGGACGACATCCCAGAAGAGAACAGTTGTAATATTCGGGCCAACCCCCGAAGAGGCAGAACGCGATCAGGAGGAGAATGTGTGGGAATTCGAGTGGGCAAAATGGGTGTCAGATATGGGATGGGAAATCCACCAGCACAGGAACAGACATGTAGCCGGCCATTTTTATATGCGGCCACTACCAATGTGAGCTTTGGATGCTCAAGGAGTCCTGGCGCGGGCGCCAGTTGATGTCACTCCTTTGTTTCGCAGGGGCCTGCAAGTGGTTTGCTTTAGTTTTTGCTTTTTGATTTTTGATAGATGAAGTCCTTGTGCAGTTGAAGAATTTGAAATGGGTCATGTGCTATTATTGTGCGGAGTTTGTAATTCGTCGCAAGGTCAATTGTTCCGTGCTAAGCGCAGTCGCGCGTAGGGCGTAACTAGGAATTAGCCGCCCACGCTAGCTGGATGGACGCTTTGTCCAAGACGGCAGCTCAGCTTTGCCTTTCTGCACAACCCCCAACGTTCATTTCCTTGATTGCCATCTGCATTTCCTCCCGAGTACAGTTATAGTCTCATCATATTACAGAGCGAAATTTTGATAGCCAAGGCTGCGAACCTCCGCTGCTCATCCTCTCCAAACCATCCCAACAGCTCTCGTTCCTCTCAGAACAGCTGGTTTACTTGACGTATGATCATGTCGGACGGGACCTTGTTCAAGGCTGAGAAGGATTTTACGAAAGATGTCGATTCTCTGATTCCAGAAGCGCAGGAGTTGGCTAAGGTTTGCAGTTTTCGGACTCCTAGAATAGAGCATATACTAACACCAGCCGGTACCGTCACCTAGACCAATCTCCAAGGCGCGATTGACAAACTTTTGGCACTCGAGAAACAAGCTAGACAGGTAAATGCCACCGCTTTCCTAAAACTCCTTGTAGACTAGTACTTATAATATTATTCTCCCTAGGCATCCGATCTACCGTCCACATCCAGGCTTCTCATTGCAATCGTTACCCTCTCCAAAGAGTCCGGCGATTGGAAACTGTTGAACGAGCAGGTCATCGCGCTTTCGAAGAAACATGGGCAGCTTAAACAAGCTACAACGAAGATGGTGCAGGCTGTAATGGGATTCATCGATCAAACTCCGAATATGGAGGAGAAGATGACATTGATCGAAACTTTAAGGACTGTTACTGAGGGCAAGGTTTGTCACGACCTCCAATCTAGTTTGGCTGGGTTCTTGCTGATCTGTCGAGTATATAGATCTTCGTCGAAGTGGAGAGAGCTAGAGTTACACGTATTCTATCGGATATCAAGAAGTCTCAAGGCGACCTCGCCAGCGCTGTGGACATTCTCTGCGAGTTACAAGTGGAGACATTTGGATCAATGACCCGGAGAGAGAAGACTGAGTTCATTCTGGAACAGGTAGCTCTCTGTATAGCTAAAGGGGACTGGACACAGGCTGGAATATTAAGTCGCAAGATTAGCACAAAATACTTTGCGCGGAAACCGAAGAAGACTCCGGAACAGATTGAGAAACAACAAAAGGAGTTGGAAGAGCGGGAAAGAAACCGGAAGCCTGATGATCCACCAATAGAAAAGGAAGAGGATGTGACAGACTTGAAGTTGAGGTATTACGAGCAACAGATCATGCTCGCAAACAACGAGAATAAGTACTTGGACGTTTGCAAGCATTACCGACAGGTTCTTGATACCGAATCCGTTGAAGAGAACCCAGAGCAGCTACGCGCGGTAAGTGTTTGATGGTTCCTTTGGCATGCATATACATACGTTGGCAACGACTAACGGCATCATAGACACTTCAACGTATCATATACTATGTCGTGCTTTCGCCTTATGACAACGAGCAATCGGACCTCATTCACCGCATCCAAACAGATTCCCGAAACTCCCTTGTCCCCGTTGAAGCGCGCCTTCTCAAGCTCTTCACGATAAACGAGTTGATGCGATGGCCAATGGTTGCGGAGCAATTCGGGCCACACCTTTGCAGTACCGACGTTTTTGATGCCCAAACAAACCCATCAACTGACAACAAGGCACACACCCGATGGCAAGACCTGCGCAAGCGCGTTATTGAGCACAATGTCCGCGTCGTTGCCAAATACTACACTCGCATCCAAATGGGCCGTCTCACAGAGCTGCTTGACCTCAACGAGGAAGAGACCGAAAAGTACATTTCTGACCTCGTCACTTCCAAGACTGTTTATGCAAAGATAGACCGCCCGGCTAGAATCGTGGATTTCGCCAAACCACGGGATGCTGATGATGTATTGAATGAGTGGAGTAGCAATATGAAGAGCTTGCTGGGCTTGCTCGAGCGGATTGACCACTTGATTACTAAGGAAGAGATGATGGCCCGTATCCTTCCATCTAAGGCGGAACGGGCGACTTCCAAGGCCAAGGCTCGCTAGGCTAGAAGTTCTCTCTGTTCCTTTATCTACGTGGGTTTCTTCTCGTCATGTGTATGGTGAATATTCATTCTTTGGTCCTGCGTAAAAATGAATGTACAATAACACAGTACTCCCTCAAGATAGCCTTCTAATTAATGGAAGTTGTCGTTGGATTTAATACTCATAGCTTCGTAGAGAGGAAGGAATAGTATCCGCAGCGGATATATACGCATAAGTATTTCAGCTGTTTGGGCCATGGCCTCGGGTTAGTATTCGTACTTCTAATTCTAGCGGGTATGCAACGCCGGTTCTATGTCTATCTATTTAATTCGCACTGTGACCGCATGTCTAGTTCGTCGTGAGAAAGTCATCAGTCATCCTCCAAACGCAACATGAATGGTATCCCACAACACACCCCTACCGAAAATTACGATATTTAAAACGGCATCTCCATATCCTCCACTTTCTCTTCTAGCCCATCTCCTGTCTGTTTATCGACCTGTTCCAGACATTCCCTAATAAACCTAACTGCCGCATCCAAATACGGTCTCTGGCTAGGGAGAAAATGCCCACCAGGATGCCAGATAACCTTCCCTTCTTTCTCCGCATCGCCCTCACAAGCGCTAATTAACATCCTACTCCTCGCCTCCTCGACAATCGCGTCCAAACTCCCCAGCACGTGCAGCACGGGCGTCTGGATCTTCGGCCGCTCGTAGAAGGCGCGATACCGTGCGCCCGGAGCAATGAAGCCGGAATAACATATCGCGAATTTAAAAGGTGGATGTGTCAAGTTTTCAAAAGACGCCGGGAACGCGATGCCTGTGGCGGGATCCCCAGCATCAGAGGGAAGGACAGGGGTATTACTATTACGCTTTATATCGGCAAAGTACTTGAAAGAAGCTTTCCGTTCCGGCTCGAGTAGGCTAGCCACTATTGCCGCGAAAGCTGCACCTTGTGAAAATCCAAAAACGCCATCGAAGGGTCCTTCCTCAGCCAGCACGCGTGCGACGGCTTCAAAGCCCTCATCTAGCCCGACGTATTCTGGTGGGTTAGCTGTGCTGGAGCGTCGCCACCATGCATAACACTCGGGTTGGTCGGCATCATTGGCCTCTGTGCTTGCGGTGGAGGAGGGTTGGAAGTCTGGGATGTCTGAAGGGGATAGGTGGAGGGGTCCTGTTGGGTACAAGAGAGTGATGGCATGGAGGGGGAAAGATTTTTTGAGATGCTTTTCCAGCGCGCGGGTTTTAGCGCGGAATAGAGGTCCTGATTGAGTGTATCCATGTAGCATGAGGACTTTTAACGGGGCTTTGGATTGAGCGGGTGTTTGAGGCGCCATGGTGATCGCGGTGGATGTGAAGTGTGGGTAAGTGGATGGAGCAGGGCGGAAACGGGTATTTGGTTCGTTCGTTAGAGAGCGGATATGTCTAGCAGCATGGCTATACCACAGCATATATGGTATATGTTTTTTGAGGGAGGATTGGAGGCGAATCTTCAGACGAATTAAAAGTGGACAGACTTCAAGGGGACAATGGCCATCACGATGATGGATAACGCTCATCTGGTTTGACTGAAATGTCAAAGATCTCCAAAGATCAAGATAAGATTAGGGTTGGATGACTCAGCACCATATGTAATGACCGCTCTAGATCGGGATCGGAGACTACGCTATAAACAAAAAACCTATACAAAGGAGAGAGCGCGCCCTCTGGAAGAAGACGCCCTCGCGAGCAAGCCCAGATGTCACCCAAAGAGTTGGGCTGATAAGATCAATGCGACTATTTACGCCCACCTGGGCAAGAAAGTTATGCAAGCCCACCACTATCTGGCGTCTCGCATTGATCGGCACAGTTTCCCAGCTACCACCTGGCTTCTGCTTGTTTTCTACTGCCCATGCCCTTCACGGCAGAAAATTGCCCCAGGCTGGTGTACCATGGAAGTCCGAACCGCCTGCACCATTTGACGACCTTTCCAACAAACATGGAGCTTCCAAACTCAGTGACGTCCAGCAATTGCTGCAACACCTACCCACATCCGTACAGTGGGCAGAAGGACTCGAACCGAAGCTCCCTGATGGCTTAGACCCATCCGACCCGCTGATGCCTTACTTGGACATATTATTTATTGGTATGGGGACTCTCACTTCACATACATGCCTTCAATTTTAATATATGGGGATGAGATCCAAGGTCATCTTTGCAAGCTTACTCCTGGAATGTATGTGACTGTTATTAACTGGAGCTCATGGCGTTTCATGTTCATTTCCATCGTAACACAATTCCTGTCCAATGTACGATCTGTACGCTGTGCATGATAATGGGCATGGGCATTGAAAACTGTTCCCCGCGTGTGGGCAAAACTGGTATACTGACCCGTTTAATAGTTGACCGTCTAATCCCCCCGAAAACCGTCTTTCATTTCTTTGAATTTGCCTGTCGTGGAACGTTACCCAATGGCAAAAAAACCGAACTGCCTGTCATCTCCTCCGAAGAAATACCACTAGTAGCTTCTCCCTACAGTGAATGGGCCCTTCCGCCCCATAACAAAATCACATTGCCCGTCAGCCATATGTTGATGAGCAGGGTAGGTTCAGATGAGGACCCCGGACGCCTCGCTCTAGTAGAGAAGCCAGTGCATGCCATGAAGGCCCGATTATGGGAAGGCATACCTCCCATATCAGAACACCAATGGAGACAAAAGGGTCTAGATAAAGCAGAGAACTTCAACTACGCGTGCCAATATATCGAAGCCGTTATCTCCGCGTTTGATTATCTTAATGTACCGCTGCATATCTCACACATGCGCGAGACATTCAATTATATGTCCGATCACCTGTTAGAGTTCGACGAGGCGTTGAATAACATCCGTCGGCGGGATGGGAAGGAGCCCAATATTAACACGGCAGGGTTGTGGGCAGACTTTATTCTTGCGAAGTACGAGGTCATGACAGACCGTGCGCATAGCTGGGTCATTTCTCACGTCGATGCACTGCGAGAGCCTCTGCTAAATGAAATAAAGGCGCAGGGGCCTTCTTCAGACGACACCATAAGCCCGGAGCAGCTGGATCTAGTGCATAAACTGCGAAAGCTCGCCGGCCTCGCCGCGGAGGCCGACTACACCATCTATATGTCCACGTATGGGTACAAAAACAGCTCTGGACCATCGCTGGAACGAATGGGTGACTGGCGGAACACAGTTCTGGAGAAACGCCGTCAGACGTATGTCAATTCATACGCATATTTTCAAAAGATCAACAGTTTAACCGACGAGATGCTTGCCAACCTGGCCGGTTATTACCCCACAGAATCCCCAGACGCGAGTCCCAAAAAGGAAAACGATTTGCTCAAGGCCATTGAGGGCCAACTGCGGATACAGGATCAGCAGCGGCTCCGAGCGCGATCGGACCCAAATCCAGGACCCCGTGCGCCACCTGTATGGATCTCTGATGTCACATCTCGTATCCGCGACATTAAGAATTTGGGGAAACCACCAATGACAGAAGTTGGCTTTGCCATTTATAGGCTCAGCTATGGCCAGAACGACGATGGTGTTGAATGGGCGGCTCTCAAGGAGGCTATAGAGAAAGACCTAGCGTCTTGGGGCGATGGTATCGATGGTGTAGAGGACATTAAGCCATTCCTGAAACTGAAATGGTTTGATGGACGAGAGCTTGGACTCGCGAAAGATGATATCGATGGTGCGAAGCGGTATGTTACCCAATAAACGCAACGAATAAAGGACAAGCAAAAGAAAAGCACATGAACAGATATCGTAATACCTACCCCCCCAATCCCCGCTAACCATATCTGCAAAAACCAGTCATTTCATCACTTTCCTCAATACACTCACCCCTTCAGATGGCATCGACCAAAGCACGATCCTCATCATCGACTCTGCCAGCCTAGCATCCTACGCCAAACCCACCACCGACGACACCGATGACACCGAAGACCACTTCCTCCTCGCCGTCGACGCCCATTACGACCCGGCCGAGGGCATCGAGCGGCCCGAAGAATCCCCCGGCTACGTCGGTTCCATGCGCATCCTAACACGGCTAGTGTGGAGTGAGTTATTTGCGCTGACGTATAACCAGGCAATGTGGTTGGATGAACTGTGGCCGTTGGCCATGGGACACCCGGAGCAGGTGTATGTGGGGACGACTGTTGGTGATTTAAGGTCGAGGTGGGCGGCTGCCAAGGTGGCTGGAGATAGTGAGTTGAAAGCGCGTTTTGAGGCGGAGTGTAAGAGGAGGGAGGAGGAGGAGGTGAAGGCGTGGAGCAAGAAGAGCAGGGAGAAGGAGTTGTAATTTTGGAATTTAGGGATGGTTGGGCATTGCGAGAGGTGGCTTTGGGCAGTATCTTTTTTGTATTAGAGCAGTGACTAGTTATGTGGCTTGCAATATATCACTGCATTAGTTACTCTTCTACAGTACGTACCATATGGAAGCCTTTATCTTCGGGCCTACAGTAAGTGGGAGGGATTTATCCAGCACTGCCTGGCATCGCGAATGCACAACCCAGTCAATCCTGCAGTCTAAAACTATGCCTTGAAGATTTAAAACCACACAGGATTCCGGTAGAAGTCAAATAATAAAGTTTGCTTAATTTTCATGTTCAAACCAGTGTACAGGGGACAATGCCCTGCTTGTTATAGCAGCGGGAGAGGAACAGATTCTCGTGCTTGACAAAGAAATCGACTAAACAATCCATGTCGAGCAGGACACAAAGACCAGAGAGCAGGTCGAAGTTGTCTGTATTGCCATACCAAAATCAACAACCAGACATCCTTCACGAGCAATCCTCCATCTCCCTCCCAAAGCAGGTTACCTTTCCAGCCAGGTGACACTTTGTACAGGAATCCATACATTTTGACCGCAACCCGAAGAGAGATATATATATTGCCCATTCGCGCCTTGATTTTCCTTTTCAACACTTGAATGGCCGATGTAGCAAACAAGAGGTAAGAAGTGGAATTTCAGGATCGATTTGTCGTTGTTCCTTCTGGAGGAGTTTTTTCTGGTAGGTAGGTGTCTGAAATAAAACAAGCATCATAATAGCAATTCATGAACAGTATTGGTTTTTGGTTTGGTTTGTCGGATGCCAGGTCTGCTCTTTGTTTCCCTTTCCCCTGAGAGTCCATCGTATTTTGGCAAATGCAAGAAAGAATGCGCAAGAGGGACTAGGAGATGGTTTTCTTTTGCTTTGCGTTAGCTCGCTTTTCTTGCATAATTCGGCCGGAAGAAGGTAAACTGCTCATTCCATCTTCTTCTATCTGCAGATCATAGATTTTTGGGTGGGGGGGAGCGGGGTTTAAGGTCCGCTAGAAAAAACAATGAGAAAGACAGAGTCAAGGGTTAGGTTAGGGTAGAAAAGTATGAAGACGGTCACAGGTAGCAATATGTGACAGAATATGAAAACGCCATTCGATTTTTAAAATTCCCCGTTAAAATTTTGGGTTGTTTTTTTGTATAATTAAACAAATAGCAACAATCATCATCATTCAAACAAAACGAAGAAGCGAAAAAAGCAAAACGATTTGCACCCTTTACTTTCTCCGGAACGAGCAACCCTCGGTCAATCTAGCCTTTCCACCAGTGGGTTGGCAGAGGACGGTGGAGCAGCCAGCGCAGATGACGACGGTTTGGGCGTGTGAGAAGACGGTGGTGATAGCGAAGCAGCCGGGGCATTTGACATCCATGAAGAAGGACCGGGGAGCAGGCACAAGCATCTAAATTACCATATCCGAAGTTAGTTGGCTTTTGTTCTTTAGGATGTATTTCGGTATTGCATTGTTTTGGCGGGATTCTCGGTAGGGACCGTGTGTGCAGCGTACCTTCAGCTTGTGCTTGCGGGCCTCCGCCTGGGGAGTCGGGTTGAGGAGATCGACCGCGAGAACCTATTGGATGAAAGAAAGATGTATCAGTATGATGTTCCGTTTCAAAAGAAAATATAAAAAAGTAATTTTTTTTTTCAAAGTTGTGATGCCGGCGACGATAGAGGAGGGGTCCCAGATATCATCATATCATATCCATTCCATAATGTACAAAGGCCATCCTATCCATCGCCACCGAAAACGCATCACACGAGCAGGCGGAAGCTTACCATCTTGACGGCTTGGAGATGTTGTCGATGCTGTGACCTGTGGGATGAACTTGTCAAGACGGACAGTCGGAGAGCAGCAAGGTCGGAGGGTCGATGAACAGGATCTCGAGGGGGAGGCGGCGATGCAGAAGAGAAATGGCGAACAGCAAGCCAGCAATGGATGACTACGCCGCGCAGTGCCCAAAATGGGCGATTGTGCACTCGCTTAGCTGGCCGTGTTGGGCTAGCGCGGCTCTGACTGAGTCAGCAGAGCTTATTTTCAGCCGCATTATCAACCCCTGCCCCTGAACATCTTCTACATAGTACATACACACGATGTATACTGCGTACAGAGTGCTATACCTTATCAGCGCAGCGAGGTTTGATGTGTGCCAAATACCAAACTGGCGGCAGTCATTGGACTCTATTATGTCTCAGCATCTTTCTTTTTCATTGCTAAGATTATGACATACTCTCGCCCGCCCTGTATCGATACTAACAAGCAGAAGGTCACACGCAAGCAATTGGATATTTAGATGTGTAGAGTTATAGGGCTGCCACTGGTCCATATATGGGATGTTTCATGCATATAAAATACCGAAGAATCTCTCATAGATTCTTGGCTTTCTCTTTTTATCTTTCCCTTTTCCCAGAGTCTAGACAATACTAGAACCTCACTTCCCTCAACCCCGTCCTCCTGAAACATACAAGCTCATCTCCCCATCCTATCCCATAAAACCCTCTTTAAGAATTCCATCACCTAACACATACTCCACAGCTATGACCTGGGGAACTTTCCCGACTGGCCATGAAACATTCTGGGGCCCTCCAAACGGCGGCATCCCCCCAAATATCATGGCACCACCACCCCCAGCAGGCTTCGTCATTACCAAAGGCGAGGATGGCAAATTCACATGTGACCCCAGATGGGCCTCCGTATCCGCAACGACATACAAGTTCTCCAGCGACGGCAAAGTCGTCGGGAACCCGGCAAGCCCCATGGTCGCCCTACCCAGTGGCCCGACCCCGTCCGGCCAGGCCCAGGCGCCTCACTGGGTCCTCCCGCAGCAGCAGATCGCTGGCCAATTTCTACAAATGTCACCTGCACCTGTGCCTGCGCCTGCGCCTGTATCTGTATCTGCTCCTGGTGGCGCTTCCCAGCCCAGGCCAGCGCCCGCAGTAGCGCCCGCTGGGCCGTCCGTGCCATCGCAGACCCAGGATCCCGCTGCTGCCCCTGCCCCTCCTGCCGGTGGACCAGGGGCAGCCTTTGCAGGATTGCCCCCGCCATCCCAGGTATACGCCGTCCCAGGCACGAGTTTTTTCACAGTCGTCGATGCGCAGGGGAATCTACAGGTTACTCTCCCTGGGCAGCACTCGGCGGCGAACCTGCCTCCGGGGTTTTTCCAGATAATGATGATGATGAGGCCGCCGTGAAGTAAGTTGAAGAGAGAAGTTTGTATTAGGGCGCTTTCGCTTAAAATAGACTTCCCCTTGCGCGCGGGCGGTTGGAATGTTGTCCTCTTGTACACGTGTTCTTGTTCTCTAGCTACAAGACTATCCACCATATTTCCTCATTCTGTTGATATATTTGGAATGGTTCGGCCCTTTAGCTACCAGTAAACGGCTGGTGGGTGATCGGGCTCTTCTTCTTTTGCCCCAATGTCCTACACTTCCTAGATTACTAGTTTTCATTTTCCTAGCGCCTTCATTGGGAGAAGGAAGGCACACGGCAAGTGTGCCTGCAATGTCTTCTCCATGACACTATATTCCCTTTGTACCCATCTAATCTCTGATTTCTTATTCCAGTTTCGATTCTGTTCCCCTGTATTTGACAACGCGTGGGTAATTTGCCCCGTTATCAATACCCCATCAGCAGATTATTTTCACTTCTGTTCTGGGCTCATCTTATATGTAGGTTGAGATGATTTATCGATGTAACCTTTCACTTCGCCACTACAAGTGACTCCCATCAATTCCACTACTATGAATATATCTGTCTACCCTTACTTTTTACTTTATATGCAGTATTTTTGTCTCCTAGGTTATCCGGGGGGTGGGGCGGGGCCGGGCCGGCGGGGTAGAGGAGTTCAAGAATTAAAAAGTAGTTATGAGAACAAGGTCTGCAACAAGAGATCATGAAATGGACTGATACTCAAGCAGGAGGAAAATACACACACAAAGCATAATACAAAGCCGTAGTTTAGATAGATCCACAGAGCTATACAAAACACACACGAGATTAAGATTAATTGTATAAAGGAAAAGAAATTCTGAAATGAAGAGATTAAAGGAAATTTGACATAACTATGAATGAAACAGCCTACAGAATAGGATAATTCAACAAAAAGAAAAGAAAAGAAAAAAAAAAGGTAAGGGAAAGGAAACAGAGAATGCAACGTAACACCCCCTGAAATGATAAATAGTTAACAGTGTTAATACATCCCATTCCATTCCATCCCGTCCCGCCCCATTCTATAAATGTGTACAAGCTAAAGTAACATACATAACATACAAACCCAGCAAACCCAGTGATGCTTGAAGAAGGGGGAAGAAAGGGGCGTGCGTTGGAAGTGGTGATGTATATAATCAGGGTATACAACATAAAAAAGGTTAAAAACCAAGTTGAAACAAACATGCATGCATATACCGAGTAACAAGGAAGCACTGGCAGAGAAAACAGAAGAGAAAACTAATACATCAAGAAAGCAGAGGGAGATGGTTTCAAACCATAAAATCGCCGCCCCAGATATAAAACTTACCCATTAGTTCAACTTACTTACTGACACCCTCATCGACAACCAACATTTTTTCCCCCTCACCTGAATGATGTAAAACTCTTCCACCATCTCTTTCTAGCCAATCGCCCTTTCCTTCCTATCTTATCACGAAGAACTCCTCTCAAGTAAAATATTTTCGCCGCCAAAGGGATCCATATCAACAATATCTGGATCAGCGACGCGCACACGCAAGCTCTTCAACGCCCGTGTTTCCCGCGTTTCATTGTCTTAGTTAACTTTCGATTTCGCAGCGGAGTGGGTATTATTCGTATCGACAACCTTCGTCTTGATTACTTTCGCGGGCTCTGTCGCCGCACCCTCGACGTATGGGTGCTTGATAGTCAGACACCAGATATCAAGGTAATCGCAGATAGTGGTGATGACATCGAACTGTGCACAAATTAGTCTTTTTCCGGATCCACATACTAAAGAATAGAAGGGAGGAAGGAAGTATCGAAGCCAGGAAGGACTAGAAGAAAGAAAGGGAAAAAAAAAGAATAGAAATCTACCACGAAACTCCCATAAACCCCCACCGCCAGCCCCAACGAACAAAACACGAACGCAACCTGATACACCTCCCCATCCTTCCCGCTGCCAAACAACAAACTCCCTTCCCACAAGCCCAAGTAATCCTGCGACCCACACACCCCATCCACAACCCCGACCACCAACGGCAACAGCAAAACATTCCAATACGGAAACCCTCTCTTCACCAAATGCGCAATAATCATCTGCCCAACCGAATACGCATTGATGAGCCCCACGTACATCGCGAAGGGGACGAGATGTCTCTCCCGGACCAAGGGCCGCAGATGCAAGTATACAGTAACCAGCAACCACGTCGCAACAGCGGGCAATAGGCCCAGGAGGGGTTTATAGACGTTTAGATTCCGCTGGCGGCGGATATGCATTACGTTTAAGATGCTGGTGAAGGTGCTGAAGAGCAAGACGACAGCGCCGTAGATGATGTACCAGGAGGTAAAGGGAAGGTTGGACACGGATGCGGGTAGGATGGATAAAACTGAGGCTGGGACGCCTAGGGTTGCCAGCATGGGTTTGTGCCAAAAGCTGGCGCCGCCTTTTATGGCTGTTGTTGCGTAGACAGCACAGAGAGTTAAGATTCCCTCGACGGGCCCGGAGATTATACCTAGGGTTAGCGTCTGGGTGTAGTATTCGTCCCAAGTTTGGACGTAGAAGGTTAGGGCGGCTGGGGGTAAGTTAGTAGGGTGGTGGTTGAGATGGGTGTGGTGGGAGGGGGGCGGGAAAGGGGGACCATACAGGCAAATAGAGTCAATACAGTTAGCCATGACTGGCCCAGGTTTGTTGCGCCGGCAAAGATGAGGACTTCCAGGGCGGTGTTGCACGCATCGACTCCTGTATAAATATGTTAGAGGGGAGTTCTTCAAGCAAAGACAACAAGGAAAAAGTAAGAAAACATACCATGATCAAAAAGCTCACCAAGAGGTCCACTCTGCCTAGTTCTCCGTCTATACATAGAAACATAGTATCATATCAGCACAAAGGTCAACTTGACAACCCCGCTTTTTTGGGTTCAGTCGAGAGGAAATTGTCTGTCTAAAATCACACAGAAGATCACGCATAATTGAAAAAGCAGTGATAGTGGAAGAACATACGCCTGAGCCCCATCAACTGCATCAAACGTTTGGTACAGGAACAACCCTACCGCCCAACTCAGATAGACCCATGGCGGACAATCCTGATCTAGGGTAGGGTTATACCAGAGCAGAGTCAGGAAATTGATGACGACGAAACAGAAGCCTGTTAGTGTGATCTGGTGATGACTTTAATGTTAGCACTTTTTTTCTTTCCTTTTCTCGGGGAGATGGAACCAAAGAAAAGAAATAAGGGGGCAAATGGCGAATAGAAGGCATCGGGGGTAAGTGAAGGAGTCTTCAAACAGGTTAATTGGATAAAAGGATCCATCCCACTTACAGCATTTGGTCTAGAGGCAAGATGTTAGCATGAAATAATATGTAAAGAAAACAACAAAACATAGGAAGCTTCATAGCAGCAAGAGGATGAGAGGGAAGAAAAAGAAACATCTCTAGCCATGGATGTGGCAGTCATTGGCAGCATGATATAGCTCCTCGTGAACAGTATCACCAGACCCCAACAGAAAAAAATTCCCAACCAACACGAATAAAAAGAAAAAAGAAGAAGAAAAAGAAAAGAAAAAGAAAAGAGAAAGTAATGAAGAAGCATTCAACAGAAAATCAACATATAAAATTACTAAAAACAACTGAAAACAGAGGGGAAAAAAAAATAAATAAATAAATAAAAAAGAAAATGGGTAATAACTCACGCCATAGACATAGGAAAACACTTAATGGCGACATGTGTATAGAAGGGTTTCAAGATATAGCGAGAAACAAGAGACTTGTCGACGCCGGAGTACCTGTACTCGCGCAGGGCGGCGAGGTTATGTTGGCGGACGTAGACCATGGCTTGTGTATATAGCCCTCCTTTCCTTTCCCGGATCGTTTGATGGTTACTTTGCCTGGTGGTTGGTAGTGGTTGGTAGTGGTGGTAGTGTTGTTCTTGTTATTGTTGTGGCGAAAGCGTAGGTGAGAGATGGATGGGGAGAGATGACAGCTTAAGAAAGAGAGAGGAGAGAGGAGAAAGGAGAGAGAGACAGAACGGCGCTTTGTTCGATCAGTCAAAAGTGGGAAGAAGCGATGGGTTGGTGAGGAATATGGAAATGAAATAGCAAGTTGTTTATACATCCATCGCCTCAATCGCTAACCATGTGGGCCAAGTAAATGGATGTACTCCGTACAGCGTCTGGAGCGGGTGAGGTACTGGTACGGAGTACTGTGTATGTAGCTAGTTACCTTCCCCTAGGATCTGGTCTACGGCTTAATCCTCAGTAGTTAGTACCTAGGTATCGGGTAGCGTACTGTACTGTGTAGGTTCTGGGGTAGTTGTAGGGTTCGGGTAAAGTTTATCTAGGCCTGGGGTGAGCGGGGAGTAGTATATACATGTATAGATGTATGTATATGTAGTACATGTACAGTACATACTACTATGTACGCCGTACTCCGTACGTACACCAATAATGGTTTGATTGTTGGTTGGAGTGGTTGTATGCGGTTCTTGTTCTTGTTCTGCTGCAAAGCCTGCAACGGAGAAAAAAAAAGGAACAAAAGCTTGTTAAGTTTTTGCCAAAGCCTGTGGAGAGAACTAACTAAAAGTTAACTAAAAAAGAAGAAGGAAGGAAGCGAGAAAAGGCGAGAAGGCGGCGACGAACGACGGGACAGGACAAGGGGACAGGGGACGACGCTCTTGCAGGCTGCTGATTGGCTGAAACGCGCCTCTGCTGGGTTTATGAGCCACTAACGTTGCATTTTATTGGCAACAAACGAGGAACTAATTGCTGCTCTCCAAAGTCTGAACCCTGAGGACTTACGATTGCTGTGGAAGGTGGGGAAAGAAAGAAAGAAAGAAGTACGAGGGGGGGAGGGGGGAGGGAGGAGGGAAAAGAGAACAAGGTGTCTTTTATTAATATTCATTGCTAATAAATTACACCTTGGTTATCTTTCTTATTAGCCACGATACATCATCCATGATCATCATAATCACTCTCCAGTTCGTTCCTTAGCTATCAAACAAATGCCCCTCTGAATAATAATAAATGTCTAACAATTCCCTGCCAAATAATTCTCCATCAATAATAATATATTCCCCCTCCTCCACACACCCCGCCTTCTTGATAATAGAAAAAGAACATACACTGGGAAAACAGACTCCACAGGCCCCTCAGTTATCTATCTTCCTCCATTCGTACCATGGACCTGGCAACAACTATCGCCGCCGTCCACTTATCCAACCAGCCAGGATGATATCGAACCTCGCTGGAAAAGACGCCCCGGAGGGGCGTTTATCCTTGCTTCCTTGCTTCCTTGCTTCCTTCCTTCTCTTCTTCCTGCCCCCGCCAGCATCAGTAGCAGGAGCATTCAAGTCTTAAAAACACCGTAAAGTATGCTTGTAAGAACTCTCTCGACAGTCGTGACATCTCACACCTGTCACTTGATATATATGAAAGTAGACAAAAAGGAAAAAAAAGAAAAATCCTCCACGACGACAGAGCCCTTTCCCGTTCGCACAATCTCATTCCGGTCATTTGGGAAAAAGAAAGGAAGAAGAAAGAAATTCTACCCCACAGGACTCCACGGCATAGGAATCAAAATCCGACTCTTCATACACTGTATCAACGGCACCGTCTTATGCACCGTATCTGCCCATCCTTCAATCGACCAAGACTGCTCGCGCCGAATCTTCCGCTCTTCCAAATCCGCAAACTGCCACAGGTGATGCACCGTATTCAGCTCGCCAATCTGCACAAACCACGCACCAACCCCTTCCATGACTTCGCGCCGCGCGTGTAGGCCTCGTCGCCAGTGGGTTTCCCATTCGAGCAGGTTGCCCGGATGTAGAGTGTACGAGCGGAGTTCAAAGAGGCCGCCGAGTTTGCGTGGAGGGGTAGTGGGCCAGAAGGAGAATTCTTGCATGAGAGAAGTGCGTTTGTTGTTGATGAGGGATTTTAGACGGCGGTCGAATGCGCGGAAGTCCGGGTGTTGGGAGATGGCGTGGAGGGAGGCGTGGTAGCCTGAGTAGCGTTGGTATTCCCATATATGAACTATACCGTATCATTTCGATGTTAGCATTTTTTCTCCCTGGTAATTGCACAAATTGGTGAGAGATTGATGTGGGAAAGGGGTTTATTTATTTACCGAATGTATCATTATCTCCAACCTGTGTCCTCCAACTTCCGACCAGATTGACCTTGTTGTTCTCAATCTGTGCCATCCGCGGATACCACTGACCAACCAAATCAACGTATTCCTCCACTTTATCCGGCTTGACTTCGTGAAAAACGATCGAATGGACGTATTTCCCTCGCGCGAGCACTTCCGAGAAAGAGCGCTCGATATCCTTGTCCAGCTGCTGTCCTTCCTTGGTGCCATAGATCAAGCTGGACAAGGCCCCTCGCTTTGGGGTCTGGCCAGCATCGGATTGACGGTGTTCTCCTACAATGCGGTGGGTGGAAAGTGAGCCCAAACCTTTAACGTCTAGGGTGTTCGCAGCATCAGGAACAGGAGAAGCAGCGGCAGCGGTAGAATCAGGCTGTTCGCTCGCATTGCTCGCAGATGGAGCAGTGGGATGCGAAGAGCCGGAGGAGCGCCTTGAAGTAAAGGAAAATGGAGCAGGAGAAACAACAGAAGCATGATCCGACTGACTCTCTGCCTGTGCTTTTTTCTTCCGAGCAGCTTCCAGGTTCGCGCGGAACTCCTTCTGCTTCGCATTGAAACTAGCCGCGTTGTCTGGGGTGATATCTCTAAGCGAAGGGGCTCGATATAAGGCGCTGGTGGTGGATAAGGGTCGTAGTATTAAAGTCGAGGGGTAGGTGGAGGAGCTGGTTTGAATTCGGAATAGACGAGGGGCCAACATGGTGATTATGAATCGCAGGAGAGGATACGGCGTACAGATGTGTGTGCGAGCGTGTTCGGTGTAAAGATGCAAGCGATATATAGAAGTGGCGCGGAGTGTCGGCGGCGACACAAGCAATAACAAGTATACTACTTTGTTTCCAGCTACCAGCTAGCGGACTCGAGTACCCGAGATTAAAGTATGCGGGGATTGGGGGATGGAGGGATAGTTCAGCAGCAGTAGTAGAATGTAGCGGTAGCAGTAGTAGCAGTACTACACAAACAATGTGAGGGGTGTTAGATTAGCTGGACACGCGAGCGACAAGACAAGATAAGAACAACAAGAGGGGAAGGCCTGGTTTGACAGGGAATGGCCAGGATGAGCCAATGCTACACGCAGCCAGGTAACACGCTACCTAAGGTCAGACTACAGGGAGCCCTTGGTTTGCAGGAAAGGGATAGAATAAGTATCAACACAGAGATAAGAAAGTGAAACCAGCTTGAATTGACAAACCAAGGCAGAGACACACGGACAGACAGTGAATGAATGAATAGAAAGAGAGGAGAACGAGAAGCATTGACGTTGAGATAGAACGAGAAGAGGAGACCAGGAGGAGATCCCGGAAGAGCCTCGATTACTTAAAAGGGTTAGAGGCTCTGGCTGGGATCTACGCTAGACTTTTTTGGGACACATTCCACGTGACTCATCATATGACGTCAGCCGAGCTCGTCCCCGTCGTTTGCTTTGTTTGTTCTGTTGTCTGGGGAAATATTGAGTCTAGCCGCAATACATAGCTATACTGAACCTATCAACAAGCAGGTCAGTAAGCCAGTTCGAAGTGGATAGACAGCCTATTGCTATAAAATTTCCCTTATTACTCTTATTACAATTGCACTTATACTCGATAGCGTGTGTCAGTCAACAAACAGGCAAAATGGCCGAACACCAACATCCGCCGCTCAGTTATGAGGATTCGGCCACCACCACCCATCCACATTTCGCCAGCAGCCTACCGCCAGAAGTAGTCTCATGTCTAAAGAACTCCAGATTTGTACGTCATAGACATGCATCTGTAAGAATTACACGCCGCTAACTCCCCTTACCCCAGCTTCACCTAGCAACCTGCGACAACCTAACCCCCCACGTCTCCTTAATGAGCTACACCTACCTCCCCTCAACCCCCTTCACCTCTCACCCCACAATAATCATGACCACAAACGCCGCCTCCAAAAAGACCCTAAACCTCCTCTCAAACCCGCGCGTCTCCCTCCTCGTCCACGACTGGGTCTCCCACCGGCCCCCCACCCGCTCCACAACCCATCATCTGGCCCGCGACGGCTCCCCGCCACCTGCAGCAACCCGCTCCAGCCTCGCCTCTCTCCTGCTGAATATCAACACCAGCGCGCTAAGCAGTATTAGTACGACTATCATTGGCGAGGCGAGGTTTGCGGAGACAGGCTCCGAAGAAGAAAAGTGGTGTAAAGCGCGGCATTTGGAGAATAATACCTTTGCGTCTGATGCGCCTGATGGGACGAGTTTGTTTGCTGCGGCGAGGGAGGGGCGGGGGGAGCGGGAGGGTGAGGGGGAGGGGGATGATACGGGCAATGTGGTTGGCGCGACGGTGGATGAGAGTGCGAGGGTTGTTATTGTTGAAGTGAGGAAGGGGAGGATTGCGGATTGGAAGGGTGGGGTGCGGGATTGGGCGGTTGTGGAGGAAGGGGATGGGGGACGCGGAATGGTCAATGGGGTGAGAGATTGATACTTATGAGATTTGGTGAGGGTTCTCCGACTGTTCTTGCTATTGAGCTTTGAAAATATGGATGCGGAGTATAGGTCAAATCCATGGGTGGATGCATAGCGGAATCTTATGGCTAGGGAAAAGAAGGGGATATGAAAATATGTTTCTTAAAAGGTACACGGATGTGGATATAAAAGTGTTGCACATATCAACTCAGCCAATGGAGGCACTGGGTCTGGGGTATATTTGCGGATAAGTTGACTCCGTTGCTAATTGAAATAAATATACCCTGTTATTGGGGTGATATCAGCATGATCTGGAAAATGGATACGCTCTTGATCTGTTCTCTCTCTCTCTCAAAAAAAAGAAAAGTCATCTATTTCATTAGGCAGTCAGTTGACTGTCTAAAATAAACTATTCTACTCTTCTTCCTGGAGGTTCTGGCCTCCAATGCCTCGCCATAAGTTTGATTGAAACCTCAACACCAAATTGCCACCGTATCATCTTCAATTTACCTACATAGACAGAGCATCCTCAGAACCTGCACATTGTGAGGATTCAGCACTTTTATTCCAGATATTGCATAAAGCCATCTTGAGCTAGCCTAGTCTGTAAGTTAGCTGTGTTTTTGATGATGCGGGGCAGCCGGAGACAACACTTTTACTATATAAAAGCCAACAGTTCTCATTCGGCATTCGGGCGTACTGCATGGCTATCTTCAGCCTAAGTCCTATAGCTATTCTTTCTGTATGACCCTTTCATCCCATGCCATCAATGCTATATAGGAAACTGTCAACTTCACCCAGCAGGTTTCACTCCGTTAGAAAATCCAGTGCCATAACTTAGCACGCTAGCTTACGCAAGGGAGTCAAGAAGCAACAAACAAAGAAATAATGGCTGACAGGATAACACCAGCGACACACCATGGCATCAGAAGGTTGTGATAACTGCCGCGTGATGCCTATCGTTGGCCACCGGTTCAGATGTATCAATTGCATAGACTTCGACCTGGTAATCGGAAGCCTGAATAATGTTTTCATACTGGATCCACGACCCGTACTCTCGCGCTGGGCTTGATATATCCGGAAATAAATATTCATTCGGATATCTTGATGCAAGGGTTAACTTTTGGGGGTTCCATGCCTTGATATCCCCCATCACACTCTATAGTGCTCTAGCTGTGAGGAATTGAACCCACACGATCACAAGCATACATTTCTCAAGATCCGGATACCAATCCCAGGGGCTGTCGAGACATTCCCATTCATCCCGGCGCCTCTCTCACTGCAAAATGCAGTGCCATCACCAGGGATCATCGACACGACAAATCCAAACACAAATCCAAAACCCTCCACCACCCCCAGCAACAGGGGTGGTTTCATCAGCCAGGTCTCCATCCAAAAGTGCCGCTCGGTGGGGCCCCATCGCTCCCTCACCCGCCGCATGTTAGCCCGGATTCCCCTTCACCCAGCTTCATGGACACCGTCAACCAGTTCGGCTTCAGACTCCAGTTCCAATACATGCTCGCTCAAGAGAAATGCTCCAACGGCGTCGTCGCAGCAAATATCTACTGCTGCCTTATGATGGCTGTGGCCGGCTCGGAGAGCATAAACATGAACGCCTTTGCCGAAGTGCTCCGGTTTGATGCTAGCAGTGACGCGCTAGGAGTCACGGTGCAGAATATTTCGCGGTTGCATAAGTATTGCAAGCCTTGCCCTAGCAAAAATGGCGGTGTTGTTGAACTGGTCATTGGCAGTTCCGTGTGGCCCGGGAAGTCGATTGAGATTGAGCCGCGATGGGCGAAGCAAATGGACCAGATGTTTGAAGCAACTATTGCGCCACAGGAGGTGTACGCGATGAATGCTTGGGCGAGAGAGAGTACGCGGGGGAAGATTCAGAGTGTTGTTAGCGAAGTAGATATGTCAGATCAGGATATTAAGCTGATGACGTGTTTGTACTTCAAGGCGAAGTGGGAGGTCCCGTTTGACCCTTATCACACACGTCCGGGTGCATTCTTTGGCTTTGGCGAAGAAGGGATGAGGAAGAGTGGGGTAACGAGATTGGGCATGCGCTGTCCTATGATGCGGCGGACTTCTGATATTCTGTATATGGAGGATAATGTTGCGCAGATGTGTGTGCTGCCGTATCAGACGAAGGATAACAACATGAATAAACCCCAGCCATCACCCTTCCTCTCGAACCACCCTACCGCGACAAGCTCGACAGTATTCGGCAATACGAGTGGTCCCACCGCTGAACTGGCATGGAACGCAGTCATAATCCTCCCCAAAAACCCCGGCGCAACGGCCATCCTCGACATCCTCTCTCACTTCTCCACCTGCCCTTCCACCCTCCGCACCACCTTCAGCATAAACTCCCAAAACAGTACCACCATCCCCTCCTCGAATCTAAAGCCAACATACCTCCGCCTCACTCTCCCCCGCTTCACGCTAAAACAAAGCACAGATCTTTCCGAGCTCCTTTTCAACCTGGGTCTACGGCCTGTCTCCCGCCCATCCCCATACTTCTCGCCCCATGACGCCTTCGAAGTACGCTTATATCTCCAACATCAAACATGATTTAGTTGTAGAAGTTAATGAAAAAGGGACGGAGGTAGCTGCTGCGACAACCATGGGGGTCTTTGGTGGCTCACCACCCATGAGGGTTCCGGTGGAGATGGAGGTGGATAGACCTTTTTTGTTTCTGGTTTTTGATAGTCAGTCTGGGAGTGTGCTTTGCTCAGCGGTTATTAGTGAGGTTGCGGAGAGTTGAGTGGAGAATTATACAATATCGAGGAAGAATTCTTGTGTGTTGTTCTCTCCGTTGATTATCTATTTGTATTCTGTTTGAGCGTGGGAATCAAGATTTGGTGCTTATTATACATAAATTGATACATGTCTTCCTATTGAATGTAGCCTTGGGGGAGAGGAGTAAACATCATCGCGGTTACTTTGTTCTTGAAGTACACAGCACAGAATGTACATATTCTCTATGCCATGAGAACTAATGTCTTAGCTGTGTCTCCTTTAAAATTGATTTGTATGCCCATATATCAACAGGACGGTCTTTTGAGGAATTTAATCCAAGACATGTCTACCTCCGCTCCAATGACAATTTCCCATCCTCCATTGCACTGTTCTGCTAGTCACAGTTAACAGCCCAATCAGTACTACTCCGTATAAGCTCTGCATCCATTAACATGAGCGGCAGTCCACTCTCGCTATCTATCCCGCTGGGGAAGCGGTCGTGTTTCCAGAAACATGCGAACGAAAAAAAAAAAAAAAAGAAGAAGAAGAGCAAAGAAAGAAAAAAAGAAAAAAAGAAAAGAAAAGAAAAGAAAAGAAAAGAAAAAGATGCGAATTGGATTAACCCGAAGTATTATCCTTTGGTTCAACGCAATGCCTGGAGACTGCACGAATCGGGCGCCTTAAAGAACTGAAAAAGAAGAACTCCTTAAGACGACGACGTCAACTTTCAAAGATCCCTACATGATTCGCCAATTTGTGCCGGTTAACTAGATCACTCCCGTCCATGCCTAATCGCCTGTTGGTTTTGGCGTCAGCATCAGCGCTTGGATCCAGCCAGGCTTGAAATCAAAGGGTTCGAGACTTATACTCCCTTCCTGATCAAAGCAATGATTCCCACCCCGCGCCAGCACCGGAGGGGCTACGCGGTAAAGAGCTATCCAATACAAGATGCATTACTCCCAAAGGTAGTGAACGGAAGAGGGAGTAAGAGTAGAAGGGCCCATGCGCCCGACGCGCGGAGAAAACCACGTTGACAGCTACGGGTGGATCGAGAGCCTTTCCTGATATGCAGCCTCGCTGCAGGTTTTGCATGCATCTGTCCGAATTCTGGTACGTCGTATAGAGAATGGAGACTGATTTGATCAGCGGGTGGAAGGGGTGGGAAAGGAGCTGGAGGCCTCAGTTTTGAAGTGAGTGTGGCTGATGATGTCGCCGTGATATAAGGATTAGAGAGAAGGAAGAGTTGGGAAGGGAGATACATATCTATGTACAGTACAGAAATATATATATATATATATACTGCAGCTGCTGGCCTTTTCGTGGAGTTGATAGAATTTTGTATATTCAGTCCACTGCCCCTCTTCATTGCTTCGTTATAAGGGCTAGAAGTGACCCTTCCACAGCTTTTGATGGTACGAAAAGAAACATCGGATATCCATGGGCAGAAAGTCCCCAAACCATATCTTTTCTATAAAAGACAGGCGTACCATATCGCCGACACACTACGCTGTTAACAAGGCTTTAGATCGGCTGCGGCTTCGACATAACAGCAGCGGAAGTGATACCAGCCGATACGCTATGAATTCAAACCAAGACTCAAAGGTATGCAGATGCAGTGAGTGAATAAACACCGCTAATGTTGGTTTAGGATAGGCCAGATATCATTGAGAGCTAACTTTACATCCAAAACCTTCCCACCCTCTCTAGTCGTTTGCGGAGAAAGTAGGCGACCATGCCCGCGGCAAGACGATTGCGGGAGACCACAATACCGAAGATGGGACAATTACGATTGCGGATTCGGTGCATGTACTGTTCAATGCTCTCCGCTTCCTAGCAATACCAGAAATCCAAGATAGAATCCAGGGCATTAAAAGGGCCACTGCATCTGAACTCGACAGAGTGGATGAAATAGAAAAGCTCAATAACACGGTCGATACAATTACTGCTGTCAAAAATAAGAAAATTGAAGAAATCAAACAAGATAAGGACAAGGTGATCCTGAAGCTTGAAGCAGAAAACAAGAAATTGAAAGAACAGGAGCAATCAGTTGCAAAGGAGAAGGAGGCCGTCGTCAAGGAGAAGACTAAGCTGGAACGAGATCGCCAAGCTGCAGAAAAGGAGTATCGCGAAAAGGAGGCTAAACTCAAGAAGCAACAGGAAGAGGCCCTCAAAAAGGAGAAGAAAAAAGTCAAGGAACAATACGAGGGAGAAGTGAAGGCTGCGAAGAGCCGTGTTGAGTCGGAGAAACGGAAGCTGGAAAAGGAGAAGGATGATGCCGTCAGATTGAATAGGGAGTTCAACACCGAAGTGAACAGGTTGACTGTCTATCGAGACACCTTGGAGGAGAGGAACGAAGGACTGAAAGAGGACGTGGCCTCGCTCCGGGAGAAATTGCGCACGCTGAGCGCTGAAATGGCGGTTTCTGCAACGCCGTTTGTTGAGTAGTAAGTCCATATCTCTCTGCTATTACGCTGTGTGGGTAAATGGTTATCGGAAACTTTTTTTTTTTTTTTTTTTCGTGGCTAAGACATCTGAACAGTAAAAAATCCGTCCAAAATTTGTACCAGCTTATTGAGGCTTTCGCCACGAGGTTTGAGAATGTCCCTCAGGAGGTTGAATTGGTATGTTTACCAAGCAGCATGTGCTCCAAACCTGCGCTAATTTGCTCTGCCCCGTGTGTAGGTCCTTGAACCACTGGGAACCTTAGGCAAACTTAGACAAGCGAGTGGTATATTCGATTATACCTCCTCTTCCCGTACTGCTGTGGCCACATCTTTGCGAAAGGCTGGCGTGCAGAACTTTATCTCGGGACAGCTGGATGCAATATTTAAGAACAAGTTGCTTGTCGGCTGCAGCACGAACAGTGACAAACATGACGAGGCCATCTTGAATGCGATATCTGCCGCCTTGAGCCCGGATGAGGAAAAAGTATGGAGAGGAATAACCGTCAGGGCACTCAACAGGTTGCCCCAGTTTTCTGATATCAAGAAGATCATCGCGCAATTGGTGGAAGCAGCGGCTGGCATGCTGGAACCGCTTATCGGCAAGGATGAACAAACGAACACCGATGTTCGAGAGCAGTTTGCCGAAATTATCAACGCCGCGCTGAAGATCTGGTCCCTGCGACGTAATGATCGATGCACGATAACATTCAACAGAGCGCCCGGTCTGAAGGTGGACGATTCGTGGAAAGAATGGACGGTTGACGAGGGTTCAATGCTACCAGGCTTCTCATTTCCCAGCAACGGGACCAACAGAACTATTGGCAATGGAAACGGAAGTGGCAGCGGCAGTAACGGGCCCCAAAGCCCAACCTACAGCACGCTCCAATCATCAGTAATCAACCGAAGAGCCGAATCATACGTGATATTGCCACAAATCATCGGGGAATTCGACACTGAGGACGAAGGCAGCGACAAAGATAGCAAGCCAAAACCTCGAAGAAGAATGATATTGCATCCCGGCATCGCTCTGTTCTCCGACTCGACCTTGTTCGACAAGGGTCTGCAGGATATGCGGAGCTTAAAGAGTGACGTTCTCGGTCTCCATCACAGGCGGCGGGTGTCGTCTCTTTCTGCGTCAACAACGTTCCCGAACAATTCAGGTACCGATCATGTATGGCTGACACAGCCTTATCCGCAGAATTCATCAGGGGAACCGGCGGGGGGGAATGCATAATTTGCTGTTCTTGGATTTTTTATTTTTGTTTATTTTCTAGATTCTTCGCCCCTCTTACGTTTTCTAAAATCTTTCGCTTTATTTTCTATCTTCCTTGAAGAGTGAATCGACTACCTTGAGATTGATTAGTGATTTGTTCGATATATTTCGGGTACTTTGGATATTGAACCCTTGGAAGAGAAAATGTACTGATATGATGTGCTTTTGGTGGAATAAAAGTGGGATATTGCTCCGGGCAGTATCTCAAGTTATAGCTCCTTTCGGTTGTCCAATTTGATAGCGAGAATGATGATTTCAGAATCCAAATACCCCGAACCGTTGCCGTAGTAGGGAGTAAACACAGGAAAGCCAGGCAAGAACTTGACGAATATGCAGGTAGCGAAATACACTAAACGCTGCAAAATCTCAGTAGCAGCGTTAGTAATCATGCTGCACTGCTTTTATTCTCCGTGGCCGGGAAATCTCTGTTCGGGGATGTCACGGAAGGGCGCTCGTGGAAATGGACAGAAGAATCAATCATACCTAGGCTTGAGAAGCAAAGTTAACACTGTTGGAAAAGAAGATCAGAAAGCCCAATACAATTAACACGTTTTGGCTGTATCCCTCCACTAACCTCTAAGGTGGAGTAGATAGATGAACGAGTCAAATTCAAATGCTAAGCTGCTTTTTAAAAACAGGCGTTATCAACCACATGTAGGTATGACACTAAGAAAATGCAAATAGCCGCTAATAACATGTCATAAGCTCTTCGAAAAAACGAATAGGATCGAAAGACAAACAGGGACTCTGGAGGCATTGGAACTACAAACTGGTGCCCTCCTCCATGGGAACGCCATATTGCTGAAGTTTAAAAGACAGCGCGAAATAAGTTTGAAAATTGGACACAGGATCTAGGGTGGTTAATATGATGCAAAGGGTCGTTTCTCATCATGTCAAAGCTATTCCCACATGAGTAGAGATAGCAGTTCGAGTTTTGTTACTTATATTCCTCGTTCGGGTCCCATTGGGAAGGTTGGAAATCGGGATGATGGAAGTGTGCAAGATTATTGGGAGAGCTACAGGGGTGGTCAGTACACAAGAGGGTAATCTTGGGAACGTAGTATCAATCAGGTACGACGATACGTAAGGATTTACTTACTTGCTAAAAGGTACAGAGGACAGCGGAAGCGTATTCATTGGTTCGCACACTAATGGATTCATCCTGATCTGGAGCTCCGTGGATTTATCCGGCGTGGAAACTGGGCTGACAGGAAAGCTCGAAATTGGAGAATGTTGTGCCAGGGCTGGCGGAGACTGGGGAATCATTTGAGGTGGAACATTGGAATTAATTTGCCTTTCGGGAAACGCGTACGGCTGGTTAACGGTCATTGGTGATGAAATACTGGTGGTATCGAGCGGAAGGCTCGGGATGGACATCAAAACTGGGTTTAGATCAAACGGCAAGGCACTCGAATACCAGGGCATATAGTCAGAGCTCATGGCATATTGGAAGTTAACCGATGTAATAATCCCTTGGTTGTGAATTGCCTGGTTGGTTTGATATAGGAGATCGTAGTGACCACTGTGGAGTGTTTTAGCCGTCTGTTATTTCAAGATACGGAGCGACACAGGAGGAAGTTCTTACGGGCGATAAAGAAGCCTAATTGTTGCGATGGGGTTATCGGGCGAGAGCAAATGCGGGGTGACTTCTGTTCCTTCGCTCCTATCAAGGTAGAGAATCTCGATAGCAAACCCAGACCCCTCAATGACTCCGTCGAACAGCCCGTGAATGCCTATTTCATCGATTTCGGTTTTACCGGGTTCGATTGTCTTTGTGCGATAGTCATCAACAGTCATCCTAAGGAAGCCTGCATAGCGGTCGGGATTTTTTTTCATCCAGGCACTCGTCATTAACTAGTCAGTAGTAATTTGTTAAGTCAATGTTCACAAAATATATGGGCTTGGGATTCGTTTCATCTCACCCTAAAATGTGTGATGATAGCGGAGGATTTGGATTCATCATTAAATGCGTCAAGGAGGAAACTATCGTCATAGGATCCTTCCGCAATCGCTCCCGATATTTGGCCAAAGACATCCTCCGTGACTTCAACGAACATTTCGTAAATGTACTGTTGGCATCCAATAGAGTCCAGTGATTCGTTCAAGGATTTGATCCGCGCCAACTCCTGTTCTAGCTTTGCAGTATCGCGTAGGTTGAATAACGTCTCAAAATATCCGAAGGCAACAGCTAGCGCGGTATAAGTCTTGGAAGCACAAGATGCCTAGGAAGGGCCGTTTGAGTCGCTCACCTCTCCACCCGCAATTTCCATCTCCTTTCATTATACGATAATGAGAATGAGTATGAGAAAGCGCCTAATTACCCTTCGTTAGCCCTACGTTTTTCAAGATATACCGTATCCCCTGTAGATCATGAGCAATGTTTCTAAAAAACATACAGTGGTCTTTGCGACGTATATAGGGTCCGCGTTTGCGTATTCGGACGTTATCATACTACTCGATTGTTTCGGACCCACTAAAGGTCCCTGTGCCAGCCGATTAGCCATTAGGTTTAAAAAAGGCAAAGCGGCGCTCCTCACCTGTAGATCCGGCTCATAATGATTGGAAAGCTTTTGAAACTCAGCCATATGATCCGGGTCTGCCATGTTACTTGATGGGGGGATGGTGCCCATAGTCACGTTGTAGTGCGGTGCTTGGTGGATAATGTCTAGAGGTGAGGTGCGAAATATATTTTGGTATACAGGAGCTGTCCGATATGTTTGGTGGTTATATGCTGCTTGCGCAGATTCTGAGGAAGGGTAAAGCTGAAGGTAAGCAAGGCTGAATGAGACCGGCGCAACTGCCTGGGACTGCATGTTGAAAAGAAAAGAAAAGAAAAAACAAGCCCTGGCAATCGATGTTTCTTCTTGCTCTCTTGGTGCCTCTCTTTGAGGAAACGGTCCACAGGCGGCAGATGATGGCCACAATTTCCGGGAGAAAGAACACACAAAGGAAACAGAAAGCGATTAAAAATTAAATAGAGTCAAATAAGATAATGACTAAAATACATTTGGAAAACACAAGTCAATGCGTAAAGATACAGCAAAGTTGACAGCAGCCAGAAGACGAAGAAGAAAGAAAAAGATATCCAAGACTCACGTCGATTGACAGCAGTGGGAGCTTGTTCTGTCTTAATATTATGACGAGGGAGAAGGGGCCGTTATGTATTATGGTATTGAGCGCCAACCTGGCGAGCTGGACAATAGCTAGCAGAAGCCCCTCCCTCGTGTCTAGTGAAGCGGTATCAACTTTCCTACCCAGATTCAGAGTATTGCCATGGCTTCGGGACGGATCTTTTTTGTAACTGGAGTGATCAGACGACGGCAACGAATAGGACCTGCATGGCTTAGTCGCAGGCTAGAGCCAGCATTGAAGCAATAGATCGTTTGCACGAGAGTTTGAAGCCGTGAAGGGTCGTTCGTTGTTGAGCGAGAACTTGCGAACTTCGCTTCTTGGGCGTTGAGTTGAAGGTTCAGCGCGGCTTATTCAGCAACCCGCGGAAGGGAAAGGCGGGACGGTGCCTGTGATCCAACCAACACCAACCACCCACACTGATGATGAAAAAGGGAGACAGGCGGGCTCACATTCTCCTCATACCCGTCATGCTGCGATTCGCGGACTAATGGCTACTGGCTTACCACGGTTCACTACAGGAATAAGCAAAACGGGTACTTTGTACTGTAACAAGGTTTGGGGTTAGCAACATGGCGCTCTGACAGCCGGAACAAACGAGTTAACTACCATCACGGCACTGGCCTATGCTCAGCTGCAGCATATTTGCTGAAACGGGATGATGAATTATGGCGCAAATCCCGGGAGCAGAAACTGTCCTCGGTTGCTGTTTTTGAGAGGCGAATCGACACAATTTGGTTCACTCGCAAACAGCCATTGGCTGTGCGATTGACATGTACATGTACATGCACATGTGCATGTACATACATACATGTATGATGCAAGGCGAGCGCGCACATGCAGCGAAAATCCGGTAAAGCACGAATCAATTCGAGCAGCAGCAACCAAGACAATGGTTATGGCGCAGCCATTGAGTGTTGCCAAGGCAGGCACCTTTCAATCGTCAAGCCAGCACAAGCAATCTGCGCGGGGGCCAGGCTACTCAGGGGCGGATGGGACCACCAGCTGCCCTCATCTCATGCTGTTGATAAAATATTTGCGACCAGCCAAGCTCAGGATATTCAAGAATGTATAAATCGGACATCCAAAAGAAAAAAAGAAAAAAGTTTGAGTCTAATTGTACCCTTGTGTCTAGAGCTCTCTCCGGGCGATCCGCACAAACTTTATCATGTGAGGATCTACTGGGAGAAAAAGAAGAAAAGAAAAGAAAAGAAAAGAAAAAGAAAAGTCGATGCCATCCGCCTAGACATTATTGTCAGCACCTGCCAGAAATATTGTTCGACCAATCTCAAAGCAAAAGGTGCATGAAACAAGCCAAGCCTGCGCATACACAAGAGCCGTCCACAAATTCCCTTGCAATCCGGTCCATGTGGTACAGTATATTTCAAGGGAAGCTCAGCTCAGCTGACTGCTTGGCAGTCGATGGAGGTATTTGAAGCAACCGCATGTTGCTAAAATGCAAAGCTGAAATTTATTCGCGGCGGAAACATGAACTTTTGGGCAACGATTCTTCCAGTGCTTGGTACCGTTCTTATTAGTACGTTACAGTCCTTGCCTGGAATGGCATGTGCTTAACCTTTATGTTTGAAAGGCCAAGCCGAAGCATTGAAGTAGGTTCTGATACTTGCATGCTTCCCACTTCCGTATATTCATTTTTGTTCATTCATCCCTATTGTTGCAGTGCGGCCTGGCCAGATGTCTAGAGATACATCGGCTCCTTCTGAGCGTCTCGGTATCCGTTACATCCGTAAAGACGCTCATAACCTGAGAGCCATCGACCCGTGGGCGCGGATTCGATATGTCAGATTGGCGAGCTGCGCCTAGCACGCCGTTTAGACCTTGTCATGTCGATCCTCCACAGATCCTTTGTTGAAAATGTCGTCCATCGTTCGTCAACTATCAAAACCGGCTCGCTTGTACCCGCTCCTTCTAAGGTTGGCTTGACATATCTAGGTAGTTAGTTAGCTATCATTTGTTTGTCAGCTCACTTTCGCGTGCCTTTCGACGTTGCTACACCTAGATTAACAGCTTAACAACCTATTAGTTTCGTGCCAGTCATAGGCAGATGTGTCACTTCATTCGAGACCTCCAAAGGGAAATTGTCATAACACGCATCACAATCAATTGAATATTTTACGTTATAGCATTTTGCTAAAAATTCCATTCCATTCACTCATTGCGTCGACAATTTTATTATGGAGCGATTGTACGGAGTACCCTCCCTATGTGGAATGAACCGGCTCCGGCTGTGTTCCATTACTCTCCCGTGAACCGTGGATTAGTCACGGATATTCACAGAAACCAAGAAATTGGTCAGGCTTGGCTTGATTGAATGAAGCAGCCAAGCGGCCCGCATATAGGAAACACAGTTATGCAAATTGTACGCAGTCGACCCGGAACCATACATATCGCCATTCTTGTCTGTATATTTTCTTTTCCCTTTAGCAGAGATAGGGGTTTACATTTTCCTGAGCCCCACGGCCAAGAAATGGTGTGAGTGCTATCCACTCCGCTGGATTTCCTTCTATGCCCTGTTTCTGATGAGCGGCAACTTGTGCCAACACAATCGGATAAAATGGAGGAAGCTCACTTGACCATTCTCTTTCATTAATGCTCGAATGGCCTGAAGTCCTGACAATACCGAATTCCGTGTTTGCGATCTTGGCATATCGACTCCAACCTCCCGTTGTTTTTCGCAATACTTGACGTCATAATGGAGGACTATCGTTCTTCAGATCAGAGGATGCCCATAAGAATTCGAACGTGTCCCGCACGCAGAAAATCACCTTGCATATCACGAAATGTCCTCCCGCTGGACCAAGCAATTAGTCAAATCTAGAAGAAATAGGACGACGTGTGTCCTTGTGGTAAGGGTACAAAGTTGACCGATAGTTACCTCAATGTGACGGAAAGAGAAAAAAGAGAAATACAATGAATCTAGCGGAGCGGAACTTTCCCGCCCCTATCACAACTTGGCGCGCCAAGAATACTTTTGGGTCACCGATTCATTGCCTGGGCACCAACCTCCAATATCGTATATCTGCGGGTGTGATCAAAGTTGGAGATTCCTTTTTCTTGTCCCTCCACTGGTCGAGCATCTTTTTCCTTTATCTTCTAGTTCGGCCACAAATTGGGGTATGTCCTGCGATTGGCGAATGAAAAGGGATATTTTATGAGGATCTCGCTGTGGCTCGAAGAAAGCAATAATGCTTCGAGAACCTTCAGGTGAACGTGCGGTCTATCGTATTTATTATTGTTGTTAACTAACTTACGGAGCATGGAGCACCCAATTTCGAATATACGCGCTTTGCTCATGAGCTGACAACAACAAGCGGTCCTACTTCACAAAAACCAGTTCCCAAAGAGAACCGTATTTTTAAGCTGGTTAACCTCCACGGCCGCCTAGGCCTCAATCTATGACTAATCGTCCGGAAGGAAACCAAAAGCAGATCCAGACAGATTCAGAGGTTTAAAATACTGCGCTGATCATTCCACTTTGTACTATGTCCGTCGAGTTGACATTACGGAGGATAAGACTAGTAATCAGCATCTCCCTCCGACGTATATTCTCTGTGGTTTCCCAAACCGCAAATATACGGGCATTGAACGTCTTCTGGGTACTTATGGGAAATCTGACTACTTCCCAATTAATTGGCATTGTTTTTGATTCGATCGCTCCCAAGAGCCTGCGATCGGGCACATTGCCCGGGAGACCGCTCCTTACGAACCCAACAGTACCTACGATGGGAATAATGAGAACTTGTTAATCACAATCCAACCCAAATCTATATGCAGGGTCCGATAGTCATTCTACAAGTGTATCTCATAGCATTATAACCAATGACTACCGTCAGCTGAACACCAAGTCACGTTGAGAAACCACGGCACCCTATTGTGTTCTAGGTCAATGATTCCTGCTTTTCCTATCTAACCTTCTACTGATTTTCCAGATAACTATTTTGTTTGTTGTCGGATGATCCTACAGTGTTCTCCGCAGTAGCTTCTCGTCTGCGAGCAGGAATACTTTCGTGCCATCGGATCATATGTGAAATCTGGAAAATTGGTGATCTGCTGCGGTGGTATCGTCAACCAGTCAAAGTGGCTCAGCAAGACGAAAAAGTCCGAGAGAAAAGAACATTAAGAGGAGAGATAAGTATGAAAATGGAAGTAGATGGCCCATGCATGTGCCTTGTCGGAGTTAACTACATCTAGCCAGTTACCCATCCTTACATGATCGCCATGATCTACATCTAGGGTTTCTTCAGGACCCCGCATACCCTGCAGCACACACGGGGCACTTCAGAAACGTTCTCGTATAGACCATTTGTTCTACACCCTTTAGGGAACTAGAACAGGCTTGGGAATCGCCGTGACACTTTTGCGAAGAACTTAAGACACGATTCAAGAATTGTGAAATTGAAAAAGTCGAGAGAACTCACCTATACGCTCTCGATGCATTAGTACTGCACACACTCAGAGACGAAATGGACGTCCCTGTTGACCAACACACGATAAGTCAAGGAAACAGAAAACCCCTCAAAAAAGAGGACAAGAAAAGAAAAAAAAATGCGGCATCTCCTTCCATTGGACTGTTTTACCTATTGAAATCTGGACTTACTCGGTATTCCGCTCGGGAGTGGACTTACCAAGGGTTTGGTACCCGGCCCGACCAATATTAGAAACTATCCCCTTCTTGGTTGCAATTTCCAACCCGTGAAAATAATACGAGAGAATATTGGAAATGGCTGGACCAGAGAACCACCATTATTGGCATCTCGACTGACGATGTGTGAGGATGATCGTATTTTTTATTCGATGATTATTGCGAACAAAATAGCAACTCCTCGACCAATATCTTTTTCTTGTTTTCCCCCTGATCCCTTTTTTCGAGTCCTGCTATTGGGTGCCTGCCAGCGCTGGGGACCAGCTCGCAACAAATGAAACGCTTAAAGGAGGTCTACAGATAGTGCATGCATCGCGCATGCCCACACAGACAGAACTTGGCTGAGAAATCTCCAACATCCATTGTCGTCTAAGAGAAACACTTTTCTCTTAAAATAGATCGGCCCCGAAGTGTGAGTCCGACGGTAAATGCCAATCTGGCTACCCTTTTTCAGCAACTTTCTTTATCATCCAGCCACCACGCTTTTCTATCAGCCTATTGCCCTATCAGCTACTACGGAGTATGCTATGCACTTCCTCGTTGCCCATGCTTGATTGTGATTCGATGATCAAGAGACCCGCTCCGGTTCCCCTCAGTCCGCGTACATGCAAAGTGGAAGATCATCAGGCAGGGAGGTGACAATTGACAACTCGACAGCTGATCGGAACAGTAGATGGGTCGGACCGACCTTCCACACCTGGCTGTGACAAAGCTGAGTAGAAGTGCAGGCCTACTATTTATCGACTGCTCTACTGTTCACCACCCTGTATCGTACTGTGTACTGAAAACTGGGCTCTAGAGGTGTGTATATTCTGCATGCTGTCAATAGATTACATACGCAGGATAGCAGAAGGAGTAACTTGATAGAGTGATGGCGCGATTATACAAATAGCGTTTGATGTTTGTTTACTCGTTGGACAGAAATTGCGTAATGGTTAGACCCCTTATATTTTTCGGGAATTAAGAAATGGTAAATTTGAGTCGTATACGAACGAGATATAGTCAGCGACAATCGGACTAGGGGGAGCAGGGTCATAAACAACTCCTTGTTGCGTAGTTCCAATGCACGGGAAGACATCCCCTTCGAAAGGCACGAGAGGTTCATGTAATATTTCGCTGATATTTATTTGCCTCGATGAGTTTATTGAGTCCGCAGGATAATTAGGATAGAGGGCCAGTCTGTTGGATTGCAACCCCTGTTGCAAAGCTCTCCATTCTCATGGCCACTGCTAGTGAACACCACCAACCTTAACATCTTGTCTACGTTTCTAATGCCTATATCAGGGTGGTATAATGTAACAATCGCCAGCGGTCGAAATTTTCCGTTTGCCAGCTAAGTGCAATAAGACCCCAACTACATAATGGAGAAAAAAAAACAACACACAAAAGTTAAGATAGGGTCAGTAGATAAAAAAGGTATTATAAAGCTCGTGAAAACGCCTTTGCAATTCCTGACTTCCCTTTCCAATCCCGTTTCGCCCTACCAGCGCCCAATTTTCTGAATTCTGGAGAGGGCAATACATCCCCCGCAAGGCCCAACTGCCCATATCCGCTGCCGCTACTCATCAAAGACGCATGAAGACGAGCAGTATCCTCGACTCTAAACCCGTCTGCATTTGTCAGAACACTCTGCCATAGAGAATTTAGCTGCGATGTCCACGTGTCCAGAGCTTGTAATCGTTCATGGTCGTCGGGCCGATTGATGACAACGGCGCCGGTTTCCTGGTCAATTTTCGCATCTGGGATCTTCTGGTCAAGGATTAGGAAGCTGAGGATATCCTGGACTTCAGGGATGGAGATCTTGATTTGTTTGGAAATGAATGCCAGGCTGAAGCAGGTATAGGGAGCTATTAATTTTAGGACAGCTTTGGTGCGCATATTGCGGCTTACTTCGTCGATGTTCTCGGCTATGAAGGGGTCTGAGAGGACGTCTGGGTTATTCCGGAGGATTGCTTCGTAAGCGTGGATGTCGTCGCGCTGGAAGGCGTCGACTAGGTCAGTCATGGCAGATATCCGCGGATCTGATTTGTATGGTTTGGTTTCTTGGGAGTCAAAGGGGTTGATATTGGACTTCATTAACATGGTCGTCAAGACAAGGTACTTTAGGACCTGGATCCTCTGCATTGAGCCCGCTTCATCATAGTTCCGGAACGATTCGAAGAAATCACTCTGTGCCTCCTTCCAGTTTTCTTCGCTCATGTGCATTTTCCCGCCGCATTCGCGAATTATTCCCATGATCTTCGGGTGTGGGACAGCGGACCGCACAGTGAGTGCCCTCTGATAGAGAGCTTTTAACCGTTTGTTGTTCTTCGTATCAGCATACATCTGGATTTCCAGAGCATAGACTTCCAGTGAATATGTCCCCTTAGCTGGATCATCTGTTCCATCCTCCCGCTGACATGCTCGATGTAGCTCCTTAACTTTCTTGCTTAGCAGGCCGTACTCTCTGCGATCAAGCCAGAGTCTCGCTAGCTTGATATTAGTCTTCAGCCAAAGCCGTTCATTGTTGGTATTCTGGAAAGAGTCGAGCGTTAGGGAGTAAAATTTCTCCATGCAGTGGTACGCATTTGCATCATCAGATCCCTTTTCAATGTAATCCAGCATGTTATTAATCGATTTCTCGGAGTAGTTTCGCGTGACGGCGGATTTAATGTAGGTGAGCAGCTCGCGGTAATGTTCAACGGCCTATAAGCATTTGCGATAAGTTACATCATCCGCACAGATTCAAGATAGAGGGCATAATCGACACTCACATCCTCATATCGACCAAGCTTAAATTCTAGTTTTATCGCCTGCTTTAAACCTCTAAATCCCCTTTAGATGGTCAAGGAGTTTTGCTGTCAGCGGAGCCCCCTTCCAATTTCAAATATTCTTACAAGGAAAGCGTACCAGTCGCCTTTCTCCTCTTCTAGAGCAGGTACCTCTAAGAATTCATTAATGGCTTCTTCTGGGTTATCCGCTTTAATCTGCTTCGCATTATAGTATTTATTTTCGATCCCGATATCACCAGCCTCATCGTCATCGGCGTCCTCATACTCGAAGTCATATCTATATTAAAATGGTTAGTGGTTGCAGCAGGAAGCTGGCGACGAGATAGATAACAACGTACTCCTCCTGGTCAGAGTCCTGCATAAAATCGTCATCCGACATCTTAAAGGAATATGAGGTTGTAACTAGCCCACAAGGCCCGTGTTAATTGGAGATCACAAGCTTTTCCGCTGGAGAATTCGGATTGCCGGGGTGCAGGAGTAAGAATCAAAATTCTCTAAGCTGGCGATGTAGGAGAGAAATATCCACTGGTCAAGGTATGTGTTGTCTAGTGTTCAGTATAACTATCTGCACAACATATGTATGAAGGCATTAACAACAGGCGGAGGAGTGGATGAGCGATTGCCAAGACGCTATTTTGTTTAAGGACTAGTGCGGCTCTTATCCACTTGCATTTCGCCGCCGCGTCGATTATTTTCTGGGGAAGTATAAGTATATCCCTCTTCGAACGACCAGCTCGCGGTCTAGTCCATGGGTTTTTACACCATATATTCGCATTCCTACACAGCGCCAAAATGGGAGGCGATCTCAATCTTAAGAAGTCCTGGCATCCCGTGCTCCAGAAGAACCAGGAGCGGGTATGGCTAGAACAAAAGAAAGCGCTCGAAGAGCGCAAGCGGATCGAGCAGATGATGAAGGAGCGGCAGGAAGAGAGACAGATTCAGGAGTTACAGGAAATGCAAGAAGCAGCAGGCGGAAAGAAACGACTAAGCCGCGTGGATTGGATGTACTCGGGGCCCGCAGCGGGACAGACAGGCACAACGGAGGAAATGGAAGGCTATCTGCTGGGCAAACGCCGCATCGATGATCTGATCAAAGGCTCAGAAAATTCTAAACTACAGAAATCGTCCACGGAGGACTCATTTATGGCCCTTCAAAACGCGAATACCGCGAGGGATACGGCTGCAAAAATACGAGAAGACCCGATGCTTGCTATAAAGAAGCAAGAACAAGCCGCTTACGAGGCGATGATGAACGATCCCGTGAGAAGGAAGCAGCTACTCAAAGCTGCAGGTGTTGATACTACACAGTCATCAGCAAAAAGTCGAAAGCATCGGAAACATCGGCATAGGGACGATGAAAAAGAGGAGCGAAGTTCAAGGCATAGATCACGGCGGAATGACGATAAAAGCGACAAACACAGGTCCAGGAGACATGACGAGGAGGATGACAGACGAAGCCGCCATCGGAGACACCGATCACGCAGCCCGGTCAGATCGCCATCGCGATCGCGAAGTCCACCCCCTCGCTATCATAGATCAAGGCGCTCATCATCTCCCTACCAAAGACGACAGTCATACTCTCCGCGCCCTCGTGGCCGTTCGCGGGAACGTTCGCCCTACCAACCTGGAGAGAAGTCCCCACGCTCGAAGAGACAGAGTTGGCATCATTCACGAAGGAAATCACCTCCGCCACCACCGCGTTACAGGGCCGATGCCGCTCCATCGATGGACGGCAGACCAGCTACAACCGCAACTACCTCTACAAATGATGAAGAGCGTATGGCCAGGCTAGCAGCTATGCAGCAAAGTGCGAACGAGCTAGACCAAGCTCGCGCTACACGTCTAGCTGCCGCGGAGGAGCGGGAACGGGAGGAGCGGGAGGCAGAGGAGGCGGCTCGGGTTCAGTCGAGCAAGTATGGTGGCAAGGGACGGTTCGTGAGTGGGTTGAATCGGCGTGCTGGAGAAATCGATCTTGCGGATAGGCTCCGACGTGGCAGGAGGAATATCGAGAAAGAGCAGGAGGCTTTCTAGGATATGTGGCCTTGTTTGGTTTTATGATGATAATGACTTGAATGGAATTTGCTTTGATGGCTGGCTGGCGCTTTACCTCGGGTGCATTAATAGACCTTGCGATATCCACTTCGTTGACCGTTTGACCCATCTTTGGCTATTCCGTTTACATTGTTTCTCCATTACCCTCACGTTCCCCGCCTTTGACGTACGCTAGGTATTTGGCAAAATGTTCTTCATCCAGGAAAAGGTCGGATATAACACATGGATAAGGACAGGAGTGCATTCTAAACGTCTGAGTGGACATTTTCTTATTTTCGGCACCGTACCTTAATTTCAATTTCATCTTTTTCAAGACCAGCATTAGCCCCTGGTGCCTTACTAGGGATCTATCCATGTCTTCACATCATCCATCCACCTTTATTAAAATAGATACCAATCTCGCCTGATAAATAGTGACACAACGAACCTTCATCTTTACTTTTCTGTCCAATATTTGTTACACTTGTCCTCTTTTACTCGACTATGTCAATGAACCAGCTTTTGTCTAAGTTGTATATCAATTCCACCCACTGACGTAGTTCGTAGGAGGCTCGTCACTAGAATAAAATTATTTCGCACATTTCTGCGATGTCCAAATTTCAGATATTACTCATGATCGTTGGTACCAATAAATAGTTGAGCGATGCCTGGCCGTTCCCCGGAGAGATATCTGAAATTAGTGGCTGGCCCTAAGTTGTTTCGGGGGGAGGACGGTTGCTCACAAAGCTGGCGGCCGCTGGGCTTGGGCTGGCTCTAGCTGAGATTAGGCGGGGGCTTTAACTGTATGCTGCCTAGCGGCCTGTGACTTCCAGGCATTATTAGTGGCGAAAATCTTCTGTCCGGAGGCTGAGATAGCGATGTCATCAGCCCGTGCTTGCTAGTTCGCTTCTCGACACTCATTTAGCATTTAACTCTCCGCCAACCATTCATTTTCAATACACATCTCGATATCATACTTCTCTTTATACTAACGTTCCCTTATATACATATTTATTCTTCTTGCTTGCCCTCTACCATCGGCCCCATTCGCGTCCTGTACATCCGTACGTCCGCCCACCTATTTCCAGTCATCGACCCCATCGTCCCCCATCAGCCCGGGATCATCCACAGACCACTACTAGCCCGAGAAAAATAAATTATATCTACCCCTTATTCATACCCCATCCCAATTTACACCATCCTTACTCCGCCGTAGTCGCCGGTTCCACCTCACCCGTCACGATGAGTTTATGCCGGCGGGACAAGACCGTCCAGCGCAAACTGGTTCTCCTGTGAGCCCGGCACCATCCTCCCCCGCACCCGATAAGCTGGACACACAAAGTCGTTGCTGTCATCCTGCGTTCCTCTCTAGCCTTATGACGCGCTTTCATACCGCTTACTCTGTCGTATTAAGTGACCTCTGGTTGGCTAACATGGGATTGATGGGTATATAGGGGTGACGGCGCATGCGGTAAAACATCGCTGCTGAATGTCTTCACAAGAGGGTAGGCACATAGTATTCCCCCTGCTCCCGGGGAATCAAGTCCACAGCGTTCCACATCGCGCTTTGGATTGGCCGGAAAATCAGAAAGAAAATGAATGCAGCTTTGAATACGTACTGATCGTGTTGTGTCGCACAGATTCTTCCCTACAGTCTAGTAAGATGCCACACAATTCCAATTATCTCCCTTGTTATCCTGCCGTACAGGCGTCCCTATGGCTCGAGAAAAGCATATCAGCGTTGACCAAAGTGTTCTAATGTGTATTCTCTGAAATTGCAGTGAGCCAACTGTTTTCGGTACGAAACCTCCTATTCTCTATTCCTTTGCGAACTTCCCTACTAACTGGTTGGATTAATAGAAAACTACGTTCATGGTAAAATACACGCCTGTCGTCGATTGTGGCATATCCAACTTCGACAGGAAGGCCCAATACTGATGTTCTTATGATTTTAGATATCTATGTCGATGGCATTCATATGGAATTGTCTCTATGGGATACCGCTGGACAAGAAGAATTTGATCGCCTCCGTTCTCTATCGTACGACGACACACAAGTCATAATGCTATGCTTTAGCGTAAGCTTCGGCCTTGCCTTCCTTTTCTTGATTGAGCCTATTCAGCTTCTTCCTTCTAAAACTTTGGAAAAAATGTGGATGAAAATAAAGCAGCGCTAAAACTGGACGGTGGACAAACATAGGTTGACAGCAAGGACTCACTTGAGAACGTCGAAACGAAATGGATGGCGGAAATCGCGGAACATTGCGCCGGAGCCAAAATCGTTCTGGTCGCGTTGAAATGCGATCTGAGAGAAGAAACGGACGAAAAAGATGGCGATAATTCAGAGTCGCAACCCACGGGGAAACCAATCGTCAAGTATAACCAGGGACTGGAGGTTGCGAAAAAAGTTGGTGCTCTAAGATATCTAGGTATGGTCACGACTTTTTATTCGCGGTTTTGCTCCGTGTGGCACTGAAACAACTGAAAAATTAAAAATTAAAACCGGCTAACTCTACCCTTACCTTGCTATGATAGAATGCTCGGCCATGCGAAATCGCGGCGTCAACGAAGCCTTCACAGAGGCTGCCAGGGTGGCACTGTCTGTAAAACCTTCGAAGTCATCCGAGAGAGCTGGCAAATGCATCATCATGTGATGAAAGCGCTTGAACCAGAGACTTGAAGTCCCAGAGATATCCCTCTCTGTGCACCCTTTAACAGTCACGTTTATGGTCCTACTAACATGCAATTAGCTTCTCTCTCCCTTCCCTGCGCCTTATCATCATCTCCCGCCTATCTTTTCTGGTCCACCCAAGTCAGACCTGACTTAGAGATACGACAGCTCCGCCATTTCTTTATTCTTCCTTATCCACCCTACCTTTACGTATATGGCGAGTGTTTCAATTCGTTTCTTCTTTTGCTTTAACTTTCCTATTCACTACAACCCCTCGTTGTTAGCTTTGGAGTTCTGAAAACATTTTTGCTTCCTGTTTCTTTTTGAATGCAACATCATAATAGAGCAAAGCATACATCAATGGGAGCGCCGGATTGATACCAGTTTGCTTTTTTCTCTATTAAATTTTACTTTTTTTTTTTTTTTCTTTTTGTTTGCTTTGTCCTTTGCTCTCCAACTCTTCTTGACAGCCAACCCCAGTGTACAAACCTTTATTTTAATTACTGATTATATTCTGTCTTGCCCTATTCTACTGTGTTCATTTCAGTTCCCCTGCCTGTGCAACAAACTCATTTTGGTTTGTTTATAATTATTTGTATATATTCCTCATATATTTGTAGTTTTTGGATTCTCTACAAAATATTTTGTATGTTTTGTTATCATGTTAGCTTGCACTCACTCCACTCTGCTTCCCAATGATTCATCCATCTTGTTGAGGTTCTACATGAATATAGCTTATGTCCGGCTTATATTTATTGCTCTGGCCACTTCTTGAAATCTACGGAGTATACAGTCACCTATTCAATTTCAATCTATAGAAATGTATGTTGATTTACAATATCTAAATATTATGGTCTTGAATAGTAATTGGGGCATATTTTGTGCGAGTTCACTACCTTTTGAAGGGATTGAAGAAAGAGCATAGAAACCTTTTATCTCAGCTACTCATCTGATGCTGTCACTGATACATACTCCTCATGATCATTAGTTAGATATTGAAAGTCTACCTGTTAAAATTGCATTTCTTCTGGTTCTCTGGATATATCTATCCACATGTTATAAACCCCATTGCTAGTCCAAATTACGCCTGCGCAATATTTGTGATTCTTATAAAGTTAGAGAACAAAAAAAAGGAGAAGGGTATAGAGCTCAACTAAAAGCAGACCTCCTACTGTACAGCAACGGGGGATCTCTCTCGCTCCTATGTCCCGACATCCCCAAGCACGTCCCGCTCCTCAATGTGATAAACCTCATCAATTCCTACTCCCCCACCCGTTTGGCAACAACAATCCACCGCCTGAGCAGTCCCAACCTCATTAACCCGCCTAACAAATGCATCCGCAAACCTCTCTGCAACCTCCCTCATAATAGCATCACCATCATCAGCATCAAATTTCACCCCACAACCGACTATACTCGTCGCCTCCCTCCCTTCCAAACCACACGCGACAATCTGTCGGAAATACCACATCGGCTCCTCCGTCACATTCAACCCGATGCCATAGCTACTCACATTCCGGCGCAGATGCACGCCCACCGCCGCAATCTTCTTAGATAAATATCTGTTACCTTCGTCGCCTTCCCGGCTCCTCCCATTGTGTTCCCATTGTGATCGTGACCGTGACATATCCACCCAAACCCCCGGGTCCTTCTCACTCAACCCGGCCCTCTCCACCCCGTACCCGGCCAAAACATCCAGGACACTCCTCTCCAACAACCGTATATGCTGGCGCGGGCCTAGGCGCAACCGTCGTAGATCGAGGATTGTGTATGCGACTAGCTGGCCGGGGCCGTGGTAGGTGGTTTGCCCACCGCGGAGTGTTGGGTGAAATTCAGCGACCGCGGGGTGGGTTGGGGTAGGTGTTAGGAGGTGGCGGATGGAGTGCAGGGGCTTGGGTAGGTTGAGATCGAGGGTTGGATGAGGGTTCGCTGAAGGGGTCGTGGTGGCGGAGATTGTGGCAGGTAAGTCGCGGCGCCCGGTTGTGTATACGGGGCGAGGGGTGAAGGTTAGGATAGTGGGATCTGGAGGGGGTGGTGGCTGCATGAGAGCGGGAGAGGTCGAGAAGGCGTCATGGAGCTTTTTGTGAGCTAGGAGGCGGGAAACAAGAATCTGTTGAAGGTGAGAGGCGTGCGTGAAAGGGACGACGTTGGGAACGTGGAGATGAGCGAGGCGCATTATAGCGGAGCGGCGAGCGGAGGCGGAGAGAGGGAGGAGGGATGATCAGAGCAGCTAGAGGGCTCTTCTGCCCTGATTTGAGAAATAGCTACAATGGGATTAAATTGACAATTGGCATAATATGTCAGCACATATATATGGCTCTCAAGGTATTTATATGTCTCTGGTATATAAATAGGCGCTCATTGCAGTAGATTTTAATGATTTCCCCGCGTTTTCCGTCTCAGAAGGAAATGTTGAAGCTTGAAATTCCTGGCCAATCATAGTCCGACGGAGTTAAACTGTCACGTGCACTCTATCTCCGGAATTCAGCCATTACGTAATTCGGCCTCAACCAACTCTCCGCTTCCAAACCTCTGACATCGTTCAAGTTTCGAAGCTTCAAAGAAACCATGGGAAATCTGCAACTTACCTAGTGAGACCTTTCAGCTGCCTGTACCCCTAGAGATGTACAGTCGCTGCAATGTAAGTGGCTCACCTAGCGCACTTTCTAAAAGTCTTGTACCGGCAGCACTAATATGTGGTATTTAGGGTTGATCTACCAGTGCACGTCCGCTTGCGCAGCGCGATCATAAGGAAAGATGTCTTGCTGGTCAAGCGCATCATAAAGAATAACCCCAGGTTCCTGGAGAACCCAAACTTCGAAGATAAGAGCAATACTTCGTTGCATCTCGCGGCGATTCTTGGAAACCTCGAAATCATTGTACTTCCCCGCATCTTCCAAACTTTTGTGTACCCCTTTTATAGATCTCCAACTAAAGCACCAACTTGACCCAGAAACTCCTCGTATCATTCGGCCACGACTCATGTGCCCCTAAAATATTGGAAACTGGCTTCGATGCTGCCCCCGGCATCAGCCTGAACACAGATGGGGCTACAGCTCTCCACCTTGCAGCTGCGCATTCCCACGCCGCCTGCGTTCAATACCTCTGCACTCAGTTCCCCCAAACCATCGACCGGCCTGACCATAAGGGCATCACACCTCTCATGCTCGCAGCTCAAAGCTCCAACCCCTCCCACCCTACACGAAGCACATGTCTAATTCCTCCAAAGCAACGTCCACGTTCCTCCTCCAATGCAGCAGAAGACACTAGTACGATCGCAACGCTGCTCAGACAAGATGCGTCCGTGACGCTCACAGATAACGTGGGCAATACCGCCTTACATTATGCCAGTGCATGGGGGAATCTGAAGGCATTCCGATTGCTGGTATCAGCGGGCGCGCCTCCCTTAGCTCTCAATCATGCCATGTGCACACCCGCAGACTATGCACTGAGTGTACAAGCGGGCGTGTATTTCCGCAGCCTGGTCTCAGAATTCGAGCGGCTGAAAGCCGAATCTCCACAGCTACCGCAACAACAGCAGAAAATGAAACTATCATTAAAAGTCAATGATGGCGATTTGAACCGGTCACCCACGGGTGTATCAACCCCACAAAGGAACCTATCGCCTATCTCCCCAACAGAGATGCGGTTGGCTAGCAAAACGGGCCTGAGCGCTTCGAGGCCAGGGATGACTACCCCGTCTCTAGGTTCCGTGCGGTTAATTACTCAGGAAGATGGTAACGATATGTTCCCTCTAGATCCGCCGTTGACGGCAAGGAAGGTTAGCGTGCCGATGACGAGCAACCCGATTGCGGCGACAGGACCTTATGCGGAGTTTCGTCGAGGCTCGAGTTGAGAGGTCAACCTCAAATTTTCAATCCATGGTAGTTACTGTGGTTGGTTGGTATACTGCGCACACGTCGCAAAACTCTTCACATACGGATATATATTGACCTGCCCGATGCGCCGCGAACCCGGCTTATCATTGGAGCAAAACGAGAAGAGCTATCCCCTTCTGTGCGGCTATTGGTGGAAACTATTACCGGCTCACCATCCCTCCGCACGACATGTGTACATGCATATATCCATGCATGCAAGCCTGCCTCATACAACCATTATAATGATCACATCTGCCTCTGCAAATCATGTTGTAGGCAGGCAAATTCAGCTTTCCAATTTAACATTCTCAAGATCTCCGTGGGAACAACTCAAGTCCAAGCAAGATATTCTCATCAGTAATCGGTCAATGATTATATATTTGACAAACATTTGTAAAAAATAGGCATGTTTCACAGATTATTTTTCTCATTTTTTATGAACTATGAGACAACTATCTACAATACTGCAAATTCCAGCTTTCAATCAACATACTTCACATATTTCAGATGTCTAATTTTTCAAGCCCTCTCTCTGACCATTCTCTCACTTGATTATCTCAAGAAATTTTTTTCCATCATATTTCTTTTATCTACATATATAGTTAACATTTATATTGATGCTCAAGAGGCAGCAGAGCTTATTATTACACTACAAGTGACTCTGTATCTAAGCTATTGAAGATGTAAATAATACAATTTTCTCTTATCTCTTTTCTCTCTTTTCTCTGCAACTAACTTATTTTTAAATAAGTTTTCTAGTTGCTAACTCCATTAATGATATCCTTCCTAACCGCCCGTGGCGCCGCCTGAGCTGTATACACACATATCAGCATGCCTGCGTTGAGCAAATGAATCGGGACTGGACGTAAAAGCATGAGGGGAAGGAAAGTTCACGGATTGCTCAGTACAATACATATATGTATATATATATATATGTGATGATAATAATAGTAGGAGTAATAATAGTAATATAACAATGATTAAGAAAAAAGAGGAAAAGTAACAGAGACTCTAATAAACCACCACCAAAACCCGCGACCCCGAGCGACATGCTTTGTTCTTTCTTTCTTCTTTTCTCTAACTCAAGCTCTATTCGTACACACGCCCGCAAGAATACAAATACACAGAATATATGCCCACATACGATCACATTTCCCGCCGTTAAACACCGTCCGCTTTGGGTTGGCTCACTTCTTTTTTCTTCCTTCTTTTTTTTTCATTTCATTTTTTTCAATCATTTTTTTCAATCATTTTTTTTTTTTTTTTTTTTTTTTTTTTTTTTTCCCTTGCACTTTCACTTTCTCCTCTTAGTGAGCTTCACACACATCTCAACCAAGCCCGCTTTCGCCTCGGTGTCAGGGAGGATGCTGATGGCCTCGATGGCCTTATCTGTGTATTCCTGCGCGAGGGCGCGGGTTTGCTCAAGGCCGTCGGATTGGGCAACGATTTGGCGGGCCTATGTTTTGATTTTTGTGTTTAGTATTTATTCATTATTGCGTAGATTCGATGGGAATAAAGTAAACAGGTAGAACGTAGAACAATACCACTCACCAGCTGCACATCACCCTCCCCACTAAACTTCCTCCCCACCAGCGCGCCCAACTCCGGATTCCCCCTCCAGGCAAAAAGCAAGGGCGCCGTCGCCAGCCCCAGCTCCAAATCCGCACCAGCAGGCTTGCCCAACTCCTCCCCGCTAATCGTATAATCCAACATGTCATCCACAAGCTGGAACGCTAGGCCCAGATTGCGCCCATACGAGTACGCCGCCTCCACGATCTGCGGTGACGAATGGCCCAATAGCGCCGCCGCCCGGCACGACTTGCTGATCAGGCTCGCGGACTTTAGGTACGTCTTTTGTAGGTAGTATGTGATCGTCTGCTCGGTGAAGGACGGGTTCAGCTCGTCGCGCTCCGTGTTCTTCAGTTGCATGAACTCGCCCTCGATCAGGTTCGCGATGACCGTGGACAGCAGCTCGATGACCTCCGGGTCGCGCAGGCGGGCGAGCGCAACCGACGCACGGCCCAGGAGAAAATCACCGGCCAGCACGGCCATTTTGTTCCCGAATTCCAGGTTCGCGGACACGGCGGAGCGCCGGGTGACGGCGTTGTCGATCACGTCGTCGTGTAGCAGGGAGGCGGTGTGGATTAGTTCTGTAATCTCTGCCAGCCGCCGTTGGGCGGGGAGGATGTCTGTAGTATTCCCGCCGTCGGCGTCGCAGTCGGCGTCAACGTTGCCTGCCAACCCATTGTAGGCCGCCTCGCTTGACGACGGGGAGGTGGAGGAGAGTAATGCGCTCTGATCCGGGTTCGTATCGGCCAGTATGGCGGGGGATGTAATGGCATCGTTGATACCGGCGGCACTAACGAAGGGGACCTGGCGGGCGGTCTTGGGCGCGTGGGCGGTCGCCTGCGACATGAGCAGGACCAAGAGGGGCCGTACGTGCTTGCCTTCGCTTGATGTGTAGTATTTTGCGACACGGTCGAGGAGCGGGTGACCGGAACCGAGGAGCTGGCGGATGTTCTTTTTCATGAATTTAAGTTCTTTGGCGACGATGCGAAGCGGGTCGATGGTTATGGGGACGCCGCCGGGCGTGCCCGGGACGCGGGGGGATGTTCCCCGTGAGCGTGGTGAAGTCGAGGAGGAAGGGGGTGACGGTGATTGTGGTAATGGCGGAGGAGGGGGGGGAGGACTATCCTTCGAGAACAGGTTCTGAGCGGCGGAGACGGCGGAGCCGAGGGCTGACTGGTTTTTTCGGCGGGAAGGGTGGTAGCTGCGGGTGTTGTAGGGGAGCTTGGGGGATGAGCGCGAGTTGGCGCTGGGGAGGCAGCTGTATATGAGGCATTGCGAGCATATCAGAGCTTTTGCTGCTCGTGCTGCGGCTGGGGAGCGGGCGGGATGAGCTGTGCGGAGGAGCAGCCCATAGGGCGTGAGGAGAGTTGGGCGAGCTTGCATGGCAGCTCGACGGACGGCGGCCGGGCTCCCTGGGTTGGTAGATTGCTAGAGGGGCATGTATATGACTCAATTGAGGTGGGGACAGTTGGTGAGATCAATTGAGGGGTGTTTCGTCGTTTGTTCGATGTATTTTTTCAGCAGGACGAGTTGGAGCCGGGGAAGATAAAATACATAAAAGAGGGAAAAAAACCGAGTTGGGATTATGATTTAATATGTGAAATAAATAACAAGGCACTAGATATATTTAACTAAATAGCACTAGGGAACAACAAAACATATCGCAACACACACAACACTCGGTTTTGCTCGCAGCAGGATATCGAATCTGCTCCCGTAGTCAACGTCATTCGTCACTCTGGCCTCATTTAATATTGACTGCGTTTCTGGCTGTGCTTGTGCTGGCTGCGATTTGGCCGTATCAATTCCCCCAACCCAGCTCTGACTGTTATTAGTGAGTTAGACTTCCGCAGATGTCCGCCGCATAAATACACTCCGTACTTCTGAATCAAATACTAATTTTAAAGTAAATTAAATAAATATATAAATATATATAAATATAAATAAACCAAATAAAAATAAACCAACAATTTCGAGGTAAATCTAGGGACAACGACTGATGAGTGTAACAACTAACTATATATGTAGAGAACGTCCAGCACCGACAGAGAATAAAAGGTAACATGCAATACAAATATCTGTTGTTAGAACGAATGAACAAGTGGGAAAAAAGAACCCAGGCAAAAAGCAAAATATGCCATACATAATTGGTTCACTCGGACGATAATGATTGTACAGAGATGGATACATAGACAACAACCACGATCTGTGATGTATTTCGCCCGCCTCCACCTTGTCGGTGAGTCGGTTGTCAGTCCGTCCGTCCGTCCGTTTGTCCACTCGGGAGCATGGGTTTCTGCTCTTCCGTATATACGAGCAGTCCCCGTCATCGAGACGCAAAAAGACGGGGCGAGAGAGGCGCCATGGAGAGAGAGGGAGGGCACGCTGACTTTTTTTCCCCCCGGCTCGGTAAAGGAGAAAAAAAAAAAAAAAAAGGGATGTTAAAATAAAACACAAAAAATGAAATAAAATGAGGAGAAAGCTTCTTAAAGAAGCGGTAGGTAGGAGTTAAAGTGAGGGTCTGAAAGATTCTCAGCACTAAGAAATAATGCTTTTGTCTGTTTCGCTCCCCGATTAATAAAATATAGTACCAATCACAGTATCAATAAATACCATGTACCACACCACACACCATTCAAATCTGTTCAATCCATCCATCCGTCAATCAATCAATCAATCAAGCCGACTTTCACCCTCTTCTAAGAAAACAAAAATAAAGAATCAAAGTCCAGAAAATGGAAGAGGAAACAACTAGATCGCGTCAAAGTCTCCGCCCGCATCATCATCGTCCAAGTCCCCTTCGACAATCTCCTTGGCCAGCTCCCGCTCACGTTCCCGCGCTTCCTGTGCATTCTTCAGTTCGAGCCGATGTTGGTTCATAGGGAATCTCATGGCCTGTATTATTTTGTTGTCTCCAGTCAGTATCGAACTATATAAGAGAGGTAGCCGGGAAGAATAACCATACCTTAACACTCTCGTCATGGAGATCCAAACAGAACCGGATACGCTCATGGAAAACCTCACCGGGTTCTCCAGTTGCATACACATCTCCCACTTCCTTGCTCTTCATATACCCATGCTCATGATCCAGCGAAGCCTCGATTACACCATCACGGATAGCCTTGGCGACGATATATTCGGCCGACTCCTCACTATCTAATCCCAGACGGAGACAGATATCCCGAAGAGAAATGCGCGTATAAGCCAGTGACATCATACGGATCCCCGTCTTGATGACATTCTGTCGAAGACGTAGGACAAGCGTGTATGTGCCGTCTCGTCGGAAAGTTGAACTGTGTTTCTGGACGATGTTGAGGAATCCGTCTAGGTCACCGATGCTGACAGCCTGCACGAGCAGGAAATAAGGATGCATGGCTCGTTCGATGTTCGGTTGGCGGAAGATCGCGCGGTCGGGAATATCGCCCATCAATAGCTCGACGACAACGAGGAGCTTACTGGCCGCCTGGTAGAAACCACCGGCGGTGTGGCTTGAGGGAGATTTGCGGGTGGCGCCAATCAGATGTTCATGAGCCTCCGTATACTGCAACTGGATGGCACGGATCCGGCCAAGGTAGTAAAGATACCGAGCGATCTGGTTGTTGGGTGCTCCAGGTGGGAACTCAGAACGTGACACGAAAAGGTCTGCTTGAGAAATGTGCGAGGTGGACAGGTAATTACGCAGGAGGAGGGTGGTGACGGTTGCCTGGATATCTTGGTCCTTTCGCAGTACAGAAGTTCGTAGTGCCTGAAGGAGTGGCTGTCGGATGGAAATGACGGCTGCTGCCGGAGACGGGGGAAGCGGGGAAAGTTGTTCGTAGAAGAGGGAGTAGTAAAAGTAGACGCGAGCAGCCAGAGAATCCAAGGTTCTCCGATTGTGCGATCGCACCAAGTCAACAAGACTGCTGGAGAAGTTTGCGCCGTGCTCGATCTGCTTCTTGTCATACAGATAAATCTGAATAAGGATGGACAGATAGATGTCAACCTCGGGAAGCACGTCGTGCGTAGCTGATCCCTTTCCAGGAGTCTTTGATTCACCATCGATATCCATTGACGAATCCGCGGCAGCATCCGCGAACGCCGACTGCTTGCCAATGGGAGCTAGTAGGAATGATGCCGTGGAATCCGTAGGCTGATATGTTTCTACAATGGCCTGGGCAAGAAGATCGGCAGACAGCTGTTTCCGCATCGACGATATCGACCGCAACACTCGCAATGTGAACCGGGGATCAAAATGAGTAACGGCACGTTCGAGCAACGTAAAATTGCTTTTGATAGCTGTTAAAAAAAAGGGAAGAGATAACATTAGTCAGTCGAGCCACCCGTTGATGTCATTCGCTATTATAGGGGGCGGGTTTTTCGGGGTAATTATCCAGGTAACAAAATGGAAAGAGGTAAATAAGAAAATAATACCTGATAAGGCCTTCTCTCTGGGATCAATTTGCGCCTCAACCTCAGCCACGCCAGCATCCTCTGCTTCATCCATGGTGACATCTGCCTGATGCTGCTCTGGTTCTCCCGATAACCTGGAGCCCTTGGAGGGTGGCACCACGACGGTCATCCCCTCATCACCCTCACCTCGTCCTCCTCTTCCTCCACATTGATTCGGCTGTGTAGCAGACCCGTTGGTGTTGGCATCATCTTCTGCCATCTCCACGTCCTCCGTCCCGTTCACATTGTTGACGCCATTCTCGACAGGATCCGAGGCCCCGTTGGTGTGGGGAGCAGTCTGATCGTTTTCAGCGCCCATGTTCTTCGTAGAAGATGTGGGAATGGAGCTCGAATTGGGGGTGGATGTTGAGCTAGGAGTGTTGGAGGCAGGTGTCTTCTTGCCGGACGTCGCGGTTGTCTTCCCCCGAGCAGCAGATCTAGTGGTAGGAGGAGCAGGCTTATCTTTGGAGCTCTGGGAAGTAGAGTTGGAACGAGGCTTCTCTCCGTTAGCTGAGGTGTCCGACTTGTTGGACCTCAGGGAACGCCTTTCAGCGGGCATATTGGAAGCTCTGAAAGTGAGTAGCTTGTTGGGCGTACTACTCGGCGCCTGGACAGGACTGAAACTGGGGGCTGGCTAGCTGGCAAGCTGGTTGGATGGGAAGCGACGGCAGCAAAGCAAAGGAAGGAGAGATGAAACACAGTACAGGAGTAGCAAAGAGTAGAGGCAGAGACACTGGGAAGAAAGAAGTAGAAGTTGTTGGGAGAGGGGGGGGGGGGCTGTGGGTGGTGGTGGATGTGGTGAGCTGGGTTGAACGGGTTGAGCTGGTGGTGGTGATGATGTTGATGTTGATGGTGGTTGACAGAAGACGACGGAAGAAGACACAAGCAGCCTGCGTTGGGTTAGGTTAGGCGGGTTAGGCGGGTTAGGCGGGTTAGGTTGGGCGTGGCGGGTTAGTTAGGGAAGAAAGGTTAGGCTGGGCCGGGTTTATTTTGGCTGGGGACAAGTGGTGAGAAGATGCATTTTCTGACTCAGCAGCTGCTAACGAAGTCCGTATAGTAGCCTGCTGGTCAGCGGCCATAGTCAGTTGGCAGTGGCGAGGATGGGCTATCACGCTGGTCACTGGGACAAGTTGCGGCAGAGATCAGCTGTGCTTTGCGTAGTCTCTTATTAAATAATTAGTATTTTTATATCGCCGGTTGCGTAGCTCACATAAATAGCTTGTTGTTGGACCTTACGCGCAGGTCTTGGCGTGGGGACCCACGATATTTATATCTTAGATACATGCAGTAAACAAACCCACAGCCGGCTCAACTACCTCGTTCTTCCCCGGTTAATATCATATTCACTGCATCTAATAGCATACGTCTACGGAATCTGCACCAATTGAGGCCGGTCTGTAATACAACCTCCGTCATGGGCCTCCTCGAAAGCCATCTGGAGCAGATCTCCCTCTCCGCAGCTGCCATAGCTGACCTCCCGTATGAAACTCACCTTCTATCATTGTATATTTATCACTGCTTAACTTTTATTTTGCACAGCTTCCCCCCTCCCAAAATCTTCGCAAATGCCATGCTAGGCCCCCACGACATCACAACGCTTATCCGTGACACAGAGCCCCACGAACGAGCCCTCTTCTCCGTCGACCCCGCTACCTCGACTTCTTCAAGACAGTCCCAAAGAAGAGCTACCCGTAGAACCACCACTGCTGCGTCTGGATCTGCATTCCCCGACCTAGCCCTACCCCTCCCCGGCGACGGAGGTGACTCGATGGCCAGCCGCATCTATGCCGCAAAACACAACAAGAACCAATCCGCCGTGGCGCAGGTGCTGGGCGTAGATATGGTGGATGAGATTAAGAAGTCTAGAGGTGAAATTAATGTCGAAGTATTGCTCAAGGGCGCGGAGATGTTGTGTAATGTCTAGTGAGTTTAGACATCTATTGATTCATTTTCTTTCGGAAGGATACGTCCGGCTAATCCCTTTTCTTCGTCATTTACTAGCCCCGTCCAAGGCGCCCAAGAACGTATCTCCACCCTCCGCCATCGCCACGAACACCTCTCCACTTCCATCGCACATCTGGAGTCGCGCATTGCGGAGCAAGCTGCGCAGTTGCAGCGCATGAACCGTTCGCAGGATTATTCCAGTGATTACGATATTGCAGATACGGAAAGAGACGTCGGAGTTGTCCCTGCTGAAGCAGTATCGCACGTCACGGAGGAGGACTTGCAGCGCGAGTTACTGGAGATTCGCGAGCTGGAGGAACGGAAGCGGAGGCTGGAAGAGCGGGTGACAGGGATGGAGAGGGATCTGGGCGGGCTGATGAGGTGAACGGATAAGATGGAGAACGAGAAATTTGGGGTTCATTTTTATACATATGTACGGCATATGAACTTTTATATGGATTTTTACCGCCTAACGCCCGGGGATATTATTTTTATCCTGAACTACAGATCCTGCTGTGGATTGTTTCTAGAGACATCTCTCCTCGTCCGCCATCTCCTACCGATGCATAATGCATATGAGAAAGAGAAACTCAATTGCCCCTGGCAGTACCTGATCTTAGCACTTCGTGCCACGCCCTGCCGGAAGGGGGAAAGATAGTAAGGTCGCAGATCACCCTGTTGGTGATGGATGGGGATATACCTGATTCATTCGATCTTGTGAAAAGACAGCTTCGCCTCGAATATCTCGAACAGCCCACTGCATTCAGTATCATGCATGAAGAAAAGGATTTGGTGTGCTAAACAGAGCGGCAAAATCGCAACGACTCGCCTGCCGGGTGCTTTCGAGGAAGTCGGGCTACTCGTTTGATGAATCTCTTGTTTATAGAGACGGGTTCTAAAAGATAGAGAGCTATGGGTGGGTTTATTCAAAGGGATAGTCATAAAGAAGATGTATTGTTTTATACCTTGGGAAGCTTGTATATCATCTACTTTTAAGACCTGCTTGTGGGTGGCGTATTTCTTTTGGATATTTATATTTCTGACTCTACCTTTGACCCACCCCAGAAAAGTAGATAGAATTTATTAGATATGCGCTGGGTATGAATATCGAGGCATCTAATATTTCAAGAGAAGATATTTAATCTAGATAGATCCATCTCATCGATATCGCTAGGAAATACGCTCTGTCATACCAACGATAAATACACGCCGGAACCATGCCAAGACCACCGCGCTTGAGGAGCATCCTGATTGGGCAACTTTCAACGTCAACTCTTCGACTTTGACTTCTGTAACGGAGTACAACAGCTAGTAACTTACGAGCGTAGCTGACTGATATATTCACCACTACCTCCGCATCGTCCTTGTTATCCTTCCAACTCCCGATATATACCTGTTGTCCTTAGCTACATCCTCGAGCCGTAGCTGGAGGCCCTGTCCTTGACACCACCGCTCGGGAGTGCTACTCGCCGCCAAACTGCCATCAAGATGGAACCCTCCGCTCCGTCCAACCCGTCCAACCCGCCGAACCCCCCTCCTAATCCCAATAATCCGAATAATCCTAACAATCCTAACAACCCCAATAATCCTAACAATCCCAATAATCCCAATAATCCCAATAATCCACCAAATCAAAGCTCTACTGCCCTCCCCGCCGCCCAGCAGCAGAACCTAATCCGCACCGATCAAGTTCAGAAACTCCCGCACCTGACCGATTCGCAGAAAGCGACCAACACCCAGGTTGTGCGGAGTCTGTGGGAGACCATCAACGCGCATGCTCCGGGTACTGCCGAGTATAACAACGCCCATTCAAAACTAGCCGGCCTCTCACAGACACTCATGCGTCAAATGAAGACGTTTCAGTACAGGCAGATGCAGCTTCAGCAGCAGCAGAAACAGATGCAACAGGTGCAACAGTCGAGTCAGGGGCAAGGACCGATGAAAAATGAAGGCGCCCAGCCAGCCCAGATGCAGCAACAGCAGCAACAACAACAACAACAGCAGCAGCAGCAGCAGCAGCAGCCGCCGCCGCCGCCACGAGCGCAGCTGGGTCAATCACAGTTTCAACAACTTTTGCCGCAGATACAGGCTAAAGTGAACAGTTTTAGTTTCGTATATCCGCCCAAGATCGATAAGATACAGGTTGAAGCGTGGCTGAATGATGCTAAGTTGCGATATGGCATCGCGTTGCAGAAGCAGGAGTTGGGCAAAGCAAAGCTAGCCGAGTTACGCCAGACGTACCAGCAGCGTCAGAGCGCGGGGACTTTGACGCCGGAGGAGATGCAGGATTTTAAGAATCGACAGGTGACGGCCAATAAGCTCTATCAGGAGGGAAGTGAGTTCCTTATCAAGTTTAAAGAGCAGCAGGACTCTTTTCGAGCTGGGCAGTCACAGGGGCAGGCGCAAACGCAGCTGCAGCCACAGCAGGTGGCGCAACAGCAAACATCAAGCGTGCATCAAAATAGACCTGGGCTTGGTGGTCCCAGTCCTGTTCCTCCTCCGCAGCAACAACAACCACAAGGTCCAATCGTGAAAACTGAGCCGGGCCTACCTGCTCAAGCGTCCAATGGCCCAGCTCCCTACACTATCAACTCTGCAGTAGCTGCGCGAAACCAGGCAGGTCAAACAACCATGGCTCCTGCCACTTCACAGGCAGGCCAGCTCTCTTCACCGGCACCCGCGCAGAATACCCCTACTTCACAAGTTTCTCAGTTTCCCGGGCGACCTCAGCAACACATCGCTCAAAACCCCCTACCGCAGCCACAGCAGCCGTACACTCAACAACCATCACGAACTGAATCCTCCAGTACTCCCATATCCGCTACGGCAACACAGAACATCCCGGGCCATCCACCAGGCCCACCTCGCCCCCTCTCCCAAGAAGCTGCCTTTCAACAGTCTGCCCAAAACTACTCAAAGTCAACTCAACAACCACCACTCACTCAACAGCAGCAGCAACAGCAACAACAGCCACCGCCACAGCCACAGCAACAGCAGCAGCATCCACAGCAGCCGCAGCCTCCGAACCCCCACGCCCACCCGCAAGGCTACGCGCACAATCGAACTGATAGCAGCTCGCGCAGCGTGCACATGACCATTCCCAAAAACCTGAACGTCAAACCGCCTGAACCTGTCTCCATGGATCCTGCACGCCCTACATTATCTGGTGGGCCGAGCCATGGCGCGATGGGCGCGATGGGCCAACCGGCTATTCAGAAGCATCCTGGATATGTACTTGAGGGGGAGGGCCAGCATGTGCTTAGCAAGAAGATGTTGGATGTTCTTGTGAAGCAAGTTACGGGGGGTGGAGAGGGTCAGGGTCTTACTCCAGATGCGGAAGAGGTATGTTATTTATTTATTGTTGTTTACAGTATACGTTCGCGGCTCGCGTTACTTTCTCCATAAACTATACTCTCACCATCTCTCTCTCTCTCTCCTCTATAATACGCCTAGCTAACATTCAACCCCCCCCAAACGCCGTATAGTTCATTCTCCAAATGGCCGACGACTTCGTCGACGACGTCATCACCGCTGCATGCCGCTTGGCTAAACTCCGCCCAGCCTCCACACTTGACATCCGCGATATCCAGCTAATCCTCGAGCGTAACTATAATATGCGCATTCCGGGATTCTCATCGGACGACCTGCGTACAGTGAAGAAACCCCACCCTACACAGGGCTGGACGCAGAAGATGTCTGCTATTCAGGCTGCGAAGGTTACGCAGGGAAGGGCTGAATAAAATCCTCTTGTTCGATTTGTTTTTCTTGATGGTTGATGAGGGAATTGAACTGAATTTTGGGGAGTGCTGGGGAAGAGTTGGGCTTGGGGTTTTTTGATGTGGGGGTTGGTTGAGGCGTTATGAAGATGTCATTCTGTTTGGCGCGTTTGTCCCAAGCAAATCGGGCGTGAACGACATCGAGGAGCACGTGTCGAGATCATGACCTTTCCATTCCTGTTGGACCTCCTGGGAGGTTTTCTTTCTCTCTCCATTTTCTTCTTTCTAATGTCCATGGGTGGGGTGGGGTGCTGGCTGGAAATTTTTTTTTTTTTCTTTCCCTCTTTCTTATGCCATTTCTCCTTTTAATTATCTTTCCTCTATGCTTGCAAAACTTCTGCTATGAAAACTCAGGATATGTAATCGGCGAAAATCGGCGTGGTAATTTTTGGATCGTTGGAATGAATGAATGGACGGGCGGATTTGGGATGGGTTGCAAAATTTTCAAGGATTTGCATTCTTATTGTTGTTTGTTTCCTTGATTGATTTGTGTTATGTTTTCTGTTCTTCCTTCTTTTTATTATTTATTTTGCATTTATTTTTATTTTTATTATTTATTTGTTTATTCAGCCGTTTTACCCGCGGATGTACTGTTATCATATATTCCTAGGGGATAGATGATTTATTGAGTGAATGGTTTTATTTAATAAGATCAGGACATGTTACAAGGGGTTCATTCAGTTCTCTGCCAGCCGATCATATAACTAGAGGATGGATAAACTCCCTTCTTGAATGTACTGTACATCACTTATTAAAGAAGCTGAATAAAAAGAATCTAAGTCTATTTAAAATTGTTAAATTAGTGAGAAATATATATATAGTATTTATATTTATCTAAAATATTAAAGATTTTTTTGGCTGTTCATTGAAGATATATATCCACCGACAATTTACCGAGTTAAAAATGGTTGCTGTTGAGTAGATGAAATTTAGGGACTCAGGTAAGGTATATAAATGATATATGTACTGCATATTAGGCTAGTGAACTCTAAACCTAAGTGTTAGTTATGTATAGTACATACTAATGCCTATATCATCTACATTGAACTATCGTTGTTTTGAACTCATCGCAACGCCCCGCAAGTAGGTGCATGGCGTTGCATATCTCCAGCCCCGGAGGAACCTACCTACTGAAACCCCTTCCTCAAATTCTCGTATCGACTAGCCGGATAATCCAACAAATTCTCACTGTGATCCAGATTTCCAACCCCCCCTAGGCCATTCACCGTCGTCGCAATCAAACTCCGCTCGCTCCCCACCGGAGCATCACCGCTAAGCTCCCACCACATTCCACCCCCCATCCCCCTTTTGCGAATGTAATCCGCCTTCTGCGCCACAATCGCTGGCGTATCATAACTAATCATCTTCCTCGCATTTCGATCATAGCTCCAACTCGCCTTCAAGTCATCGTCATTCACCTCCTCGCTCCCCGGCTGGGGAAGGACTTTATAATCCCACACCCCAGACTCCCACGACCCCTCGCCGACCCCCTGGAACGGATGCCCGGGTCCATCAGTCTGCTCGAACGCACGGCCATATAGCGGCAGCCCAAAGACGATTTTCTTCGGGTGCACGCCACCTGCGACATATGCGGTGATTGCCTCGTCGGCATTGAACGGTGTCGACTCCGGCACGTCTCTAGACGGGAAAATGTTGGCCATGTGTCCCGCTTTCCTATCCCAGCTCCCCGCAAAGTCGTAGCACATCAGGTTCCAGAAATCGAGATACTTGTCCATATCCGACATGAGCAGCTTTTTATAGTTTGTCTCGCCGCAGGGGACGGCAACGGTCAGTAGCAACCGTCTCCCCTGCGCATGCTGGGCTGAGTAGGCATCCAATGCTTCTCTGGTTTCTTTCAGGAGGCGGACGAAGTTCTCTGCCTGCGCGGCGTCCTGTGGGTATTCCCAGTCGATATCGATGCCGTCGAAGCCGAGATCTGCGAGGAGCTGGACGGCAGTGCGGGCAAAGGTTTTTCGGCCGGTTTCTGTAGAGGCTGGAACCGGGAAGTTGGCGCTGTAGGTCCAACCGCCGATGGAGAGGAGGGTTTTTAAATGTCTATAGTGCTTTTTCAGGAGGTAGAGCTGCTTTATGCAGCCGTAGACGTTCTCGCCTGGTTCTTCCCAGGAGTCGCCGGGATAGCGCTTTTCGACATCGGCCCAGGTGTCGGTTAGGTAGCTGATATTAACTAAGGGGTTAGCTTGGGGGAGTTTCCTTCTACACGGCGGTCATGGAATGATATTGGACGTACACTTCACCGGAATCTGGTCTAACGTTTGCAAAGGAGTCTGTGATTACATTACGGTTAGAATATAGTTACATGTAGTAGTTACTTCAACTTTCCGAAAAGAAAGTATATCTTCGTGATATAGTTTCTTCTTTCAACTTCAACTCTTCTACTTACAGAGAATATGAGTGATATAGTTTCCTGGGATATCCATAGGTTGATAATTACGTCCGTAAATACCCTAATAATAAGAGAACGGTTTAGATGTTACTTTCTCCAGAAGCTTATAGCATCCAATATAAACAAAACCTATTTGGTTATGGGCCTTGGGAGTCAAAGCTTACCCAATTTGTAAAATACCCAACAGTCCTGAACCCCTCGCTCCCGGGGCTCGGCCCAACCGGCGGCGGAAGAGAAGGCTGCACTGCGGCAGCCGCTGGAACTGGGGGCGGGACTCCTCCAGACAGAAGCGTAAAAACCTCTTGTGGTGGCGGAACATTGGCAGTGGGGGCGGGGAAGGGATCGGCTGGAGCGTCTCCGCCAGGGATATTTAATACCTGGCCAACTTCGATCTGACTGGGGACTGATACCTGCGGGTTTGCAGCAATCAGAGCGTCAAGAGAGATACCGCGGGCAACGGAGATTGCCCACATCGAGTCTCCGCTGGCAACGGTGTAGGTAGACATGGTTGTAGTTTTCGTGGAGGGGAGTGTTGAATGGAAATAGGCAATAATGTATTGAACTATGCGAAACTAGCTTTGACGATTCCCTTAAAGTAGTTACAGTATGAGAGGGGTTGCCTTATATATGCAGTCTGTTGATGGGAACCTCGTTTGACGGCGGCGTGGCTGAGAAGATACAACAAGTTGCGGATTTGGCGGGGCTCGGAAGGCTGAAATCCACTGCAGGGGGGGGTGGGGGGGGGGGGGGGTATTTCTATATATTATTATTCGCCGCAGATGGGGCTGGGAGGCCCGGGAAGTGTGCTGCGGATTAGGCGTCTTAGGCCCTGAGTTACCTCTAATTTTTTTTTGTTAAGCTAAGGGGGCCCAGGCAACACTGGTAACACAGCGTCTTAACTGGTTGAATGATGAATGGTCCGACGTATTGATATTCTAAGCATATCGTCAGGAATATATTATTTCATCTTCTTCGTATAGCTAGATATTATTATTGTTAATAACTCTCACATGCGGGCATAGCCCTTGTGATACTTTCATGGAGATATTTGCTTCTTCTGTAGCTTGTTCAGTACATACATTTTACCCTTTCTAGCAATGACCAAGTCGACATGCATATGTCTGATATTAACCATGTCTAGCATGAGTAGAGTACGATTTTATTCACCTTTTTGGGGCAATATCTAGGCTTTGACTTTGTATACACACCCCCGTAGATTCTCGCCTATAATTCCCCCGCATCATCCGGCCCATCAGCATGAACGAGAGCTATCCAGATGACCACAAGCACTGCAACCCGACCCTGCTCAGCCTTATTAGCCTAGACAACCCCCACAGATGACCGCCGAGCACTGTTTGCGTAGGCTGCCGCTAAGATCGTCGGTTTTGATCATCAACTGTGGCTGATCTTGCTAGCTTTTCACCTGCCAGCCTCAGATGCCAATGCACAAGCGCGTGTTGGCACCAAAATAATTTCGGCGTTAAATATAACCTTCCCACTGCGATGTTTTGCCCTGATGGCGTTGGTTTTATGTATAGATGCGCCCTTCGTCTTCATTCTCTTGACGCTTTATCTGGTTATCCTGTGCAGAAATTAATGCTTTAATTTTTATTTTTTTATACTTCCGAGATGGGAGACTCCATCGGTGCGCCTTCCTCGGCCCCAGCGCCGACGGCGACGACGGCAAGACGGCCGCAACCGCACCTAGACACCAGGAACCTTGGTTCGGCCCTGCCAGTACCGGACGACCATGGTATGGACGCACTTATGCTTCCCCGGGCTAGGAACTGGAACAGACTCTGACCCCCTATTATATCTTGCACTTGCTGATTGATATCTTTCATCTTTTCTGGAGCAGACATCCATGACCAGCGTTCTCCCGCTCCCTCTCCCCGAGTTGCTGAGGAATTGTCGACTGTTCATGAACCTTATAGGAGATTTAGCGGTAGGGAGCATGATGCCTAACCCTAGTTATGTTGTTCGGCAGAATATAAAGCTTATTATACTCTCCTCACCTCTAGCTCGACACACGCAGAAGCATGATCTTGGCCCAAAATGGCACAAGGAATACTCCGACCTTGACATATTCGCCGGACGGGTCCTGATAATCGATTTTGTTAAACAGGGTGCGTACAGTTTGTAAGAGCTGAGTGGTGTTGGGGATAAAAAGCACAAGGAAGCTAAAGGGGAGAAAGGGGGATACATAAACTAATTTCTTTCTCCTGTGCACATTTAGATGAGTGTAAGGTCGGGATGCGCAAAGTAGCTGCGCAGGAAATTTATGACCTCGAACACCTCCGGAAGGTGTACACCAACCCGGAACGAAATAGCGAAGCCGTGCTGCGCGTCTTTCATGTGCAGAATGCAGAGTGGGCCACCAATTTTCTCCTGCGCAAGTTCAATATCGATAACCGAGACGATCTTGTTGGCACTGACTTTGGCCGCTATGTCCGCCACAAACGTCCCGAACGACGGGGAGGGAAGCCCTTTCTGAGCGGGAAGACGTGGAAAGTACAATATGATCCTTGGCGCGGGATTAGCAAGACGTCCTTTGGCGTAGATTATTTCAAACAATACCGTTGCCCTGATCCGATGAATCGAGTGCCGAGGGGCCCGCATGAACAGGATGATAGCTTGAAAATGATGGAACTGAATTGCTTCGATCAAAATGGTAGGCCTCCAGCCAACTAGTTGAACAAAACGAGGTTTTTATGCGGAGGGAATTATAAATGCTGAGCAAATGGAACTCTGCACTGCGGCTAGATAATCCCAAATATGGCTATGATGTCTATGTGCAGCGCGTCAGTTGCTATATCCAACACAAACAGTCCGCCATTGGGGTGCCCACGAACCCGGATATCAAGAACCCTTACATCATCGACCCCCCGAAAACCGACAGTGCTAGGCAGCGTAGGAAGAACGAATACATCCCACGTCTCGACACTCTCGATAACGGCAACGCGATCCTCATCTTTGACAATTCACACACCAACTGCATCGAGGACACCTTGATCGCGGCACGGCGCTTCTGGGAATCACGATGGCGCCGACTCCCTTTCTTCCTGGCGTTCGAATCTCGCGATCTCGTGGCCACGGACGAGCAGCTCGCATACCAATGCTCGAAGATCATCCTTGAGGATATTTTCAAGGCGCTGGTGTTGGAGTGGGATACCTTTTTGGACCTTGCTATGGACCACGTTAGTATTTTGGAAGACAAGGTTTATGAGCAGCCAGCCGACGAGACGAGGGCACCAGAGCTATGGCTGAATTCAAATATTTGGCTGAAGGTAGAGAAACTATTGTTTATACATATTGACGTTGTCAAGGAGATGCGGCCAAGGCTAGGGGAGTTGGATGGTGCGTTGTCTTGTCCCTAGATGTTGGATTTATTATGGCTAATACTAACTATCTATCCAGACGAACTAAACCCAGACGATACATGGCTTGACAATATCCCGGGAGACTATGACAGGCTCAGCACATTGGTTGAGGAAGATTTGGTCAAACCAACTAAGACTTTGATTTCGCTGCTCTATCAAAGCGTTTCAATCCGTGATAGTAGACATAGCATCCAACTCGGTGTCAGCAGTATGTGCCGCCTCATCATACTTGGAGCATACATTTCACTAACACAACCCCTCCAGTGTGGCGGCTAAGTTGGATAACATTTATCTTCCTACCCCTGACTTTCATTGTCGGCTTCTTCGGTATGGCTCATAATACATTTCTCATCCGTACCTACCCCATCCCTAGCGTCCTATACTGACTCGATCTAGGCATGAACGTCGATGCGTTTGCCGACAACCCTAGCATTAAGTGGTACTTCATATCCTGCGTGCCCTTTATGCTCTGTGTGCTCGGTGCTTGGTACGTCGTCAAGCATGTCATCGCCCGCCAGCGCCAAACCCCTTACCAGCGCGGCATCTACGAGAACTTCTTTCACGACATGGCCACCGAGAACCCCTCTTTGTGGTCGCGCATGGGCCCTCGCGACTATGTCCGCCCGAAAGGCTACCTCGCTCGCCTCAAATGGTACCTTATCAAACGCTGGAGCGCACCCGAAAAGACAATACAGGCTAGGCGGGAATCAGATGATCATGGCGTCGATAGTCTGGGTGCTGTTTCGAAGCTTAAGCGCTACTTGATCTGTCGCTGGACCGCGCAGATCGCCGCTAGCCAGCCCGTTGATCCGTCATCTGCTGGCTCTCTTGATGCTGGCCAGGTAAGCTTCGACTTAGAAGCTGGCAACCCAGCCGAAGAGTCTCATGTTGTCGCGGAAGGACTAGCGGAGGCGACTGAGATGTTGGTCATACCGGCAACCCCCGTCATCGAAGGGGCATTTTCACTTGAAGAACCTACGAGTCGATTGGTTGCACCAGCCATGTATACTACTACTAATGATGAAGCACGTCTCTCCCGAAGGTGGTCCCGCCGCCACCGCCATCAGAGCAGCGATGGTAGTGGCGATAGGAGTAGTGGGATTTTGGTCGAAGAGGAGGATTCTCGATGGCTTAGTGAGCGGGGGAAGGAGGGGAAGCGGTTTATGTGGAGGTCGTCGAGCTCAAGGGATAGGAATGAGGCTAAGAAGGAAAAAGAGGAGGGAAAAGCTGAGCTGGATCAGGAGAATAAACAAGCGGGGAGTTCCAGCGGTGCTGAGGGTCATGAAGAGGTTGTCACTGGCAGTGATGCTGCTGAAGAGAGGAGCGATGAGAAGATGCACCCGAAGACCTAAAAGGGTTTCCGGGAAACTTGAGGTCATAGATGCCCCAGATTAGACTAGAGGGATTAAACAATGCTGTGAGTATGGATTGAGGTTTGGTTTCAGCTTTGAGATTTTTGAAGTACGGTGCTAGCTGATATACTTTTTGGATACCTTCTAATGCTTTTGGAGTATTTTCATATTTCGGACCGTTATTTAACCCCTGATGACGTTTTCCACCCCGATTATGCACTGTACGATACCCACATCTTGGTAGATTTTGTGCTAGATTGCTTTGGTTTTTTTAATAATTTATTGGAAGCGCATTTATCACCCAATACCTTCCCATTAATTGAATTTTATAAAGGTTATGAGGCCAATGGTCCTGGAATATGAAGCTCGGAGAGCAAAAAAAAATATGTTTCTAATAGATCTCTGGCGAGATACATTCTTCCCGATGCATAACTGCCCAGAAAAACATTTACCATAACACGAAAAATCATTCCTACCGAGAATCAATAAACTCTTGAGAACAGAAGTATGCAAAATATTTGAACTTAAACTCAGGAAGAGGAACAACAATCGAAACAGAAATCGTACAAATACATTGATACGCATAACATCCATTTATCCATCTCCCAACCTCCAATTTCCAATTTCCAATCTCCAACTCCATCTCCTGTTCTCCTTCTCCCATTGTAGAGTCCATTCAGCCCTCCAAGCTAGAAATTCTCCTTGCCCCATACGAAGTTGAATCCAGGTTCGGAATACATATTGCACTTCACATGAAGCGCGCTACCTAGGGGCTTAGGGCCGCAGAAGAACACGCCCGCCTCAGCTGGGGCATGGATCTTGCGAATCGACCGGAAAACCATGTCCCAGTTCGGACGGCCAAAGTTTGTCGGCGCCCGCAGACCCGTGATGGTATCTTGCTCTGCATTTGCATCGTTTATCATAATATTCGTGGCGTCGTCGACTTTAATGCGGGCAGTGAGATACTATAGATTTTATTTCAATTGGCATCAAAACGCAGTAGTTGAGCTGGAAGTAGTGATGTGCACATACGGTATGGATTTCAATATGATTAGCCATGTCCTGCGCTTCGATGGCTAGCAGCAGAGAACGGAACCACTCGAAAGAGCCAAAATCTCTGCACACCCAGAAGAAATATACCTTGCGGAGCCTGGTCTTCTTCTGTGGGTAGTTCATGCGGTACCAGATGCTCTTCAGGATCGAAGCGAAGGGTGTGACACCAATACCCGCTCCCACAAGAACTGCGATCTCGTACTTGAATACATCTTCAGACGCGCTTCCGAATGGGCCGTCTATGTACACTCTAGGTAAAATGCGGCGTATTTTGGGATCGACATCGTCGTCGGCAATTTGTTTATCAACACCTACAACTGATAAGACGCCCGCCTTGGCCTTTTCTCCACCCTTGTTTTCAAAATCGCAACCGAGAGACTTCGCGAGCGCTTTGGTAAAATTCCCGACACATCGGATATGGACTGAGATATAGTTCTCTTCAGGGGCACTTGTGAGAGTGAAAGGGTGATATTGCCACACAGATACTTCCGGGCAGCATAAGAAGATGTACTGTTTTGTTTGCATGCAGTAGGTTAGGAACATATATTGGAAGTGTATGGAGAAGTCTCAACACACCTGGCCGGCTCTAGTTTTCGTCTTCTCCTTCTTGATCTGAATTTCGCAGACGTTACTCGGATGCTGGATAACCTTCGAAATATACGTCCTGTGCCGTCCACGGATTTCTCGCATGATACGCTCGAGGAGGTATACCGCTCCCCCGTACATCCAAAAGAGCCAGAATACGCCTATGCCGTTGCAAAAAGGCGGGAAATCCGGCTTGATCATGCAGAATGCACCATGCACGGCCCAGAAAACGAAGAATATGACAAAAAGGTGGTGTGTGTACCAGAATCGCTCGAAATTTGCCCGGCGTGGTTTCTCCATCGCCGTTAAGACCATGGCTGTGAGGGCAATGAGCATAACATAACCTGACCAGCCAGGGCCGCTGGCCACATTGGCAAGGATAAATCCCTTAAAGCCTAGGTTTTGTTTTGCAGCAAGTTGGGCGAAATTATTCCAGTGGGCGATTGTATGGACCCATGAGAAGATAAAGATAGACCAGCCCACAACTAAGAACCCAGTTAGCATTCGGCATACGGGGAATTTCGCAATTGGCAAGGGTGATTTGACGAACGTTTGTGAAATGTGATGTTCTTATCTATATCAAATGTCAGTGAGTGACTACCAAGATCCAAGAAAAGGCAAGAATGGTTCACGCACCAAACTGAATAATACCGTTCAACGGAGTCTGTCTGGCAAGTGATATGAGGGTCCGACAGACAGCTATATTTCTCAGTCAGCTCGGACTTGCAGTACATACAGGAGAACTCTAGGCAACTTACGGAAGAGAACTAGGGCAACATCGAAATGCAGAACAAGAGCAGATGACCGAGCAATAGCAAAAGTAGGACCAAAGATCCCTCTCGCTCCATTAAGATTGTCCTAGCATAAATCATTAATATCATTCTTTTGCTCAGTGAGAATGGAGTATCACAACGCACCTTTAGTTGGTAATTTAGAAATCCAAACACAAATATCATAAAATGGGAGACGATGAAAACCAAGACGAATCTGACATATCAAATCAGCAATTCTAACACCACTCGATATAATATCTAGATAATACAAAAATGATCCTAGAGACGTAGGCGGGAAAGTTTCAGTAGCTAGATGTAACTCACAGTCTTCTCCACCCTTCGTTAACCATCCTATTCCAAAATCATAAATCAGCAACGAGGCCATATATTCCAGGCTAAAATCAATCCTGTCCACAGGTTAACTCCTCTAAGAAATTTTTTTAAAAGAAACATACCATCGATCAAATTTCTCCTTCAAAGTTAAATCCCGTGGCGGCTCTCCACTCATCTCTCCTGTCATCAACATCCGCGTCAAGGGCGGCCATCTCGCTCGTTCTGTTTGGCCACCCCATGAGCTTCCTCCACTGCTCATGGCTGTGTAACTATTGAGGGACACCCAATAAGGAATGGGAGGACGGCTCCAATAGATAACTCAATAACAATGGGCCCACTTAAGGTTAAAAGCGTGCGAAAGTGTGAGAATGATGGCAAAATGGTAACCTTCGTATAAGCCTCCTATAGATATTTGTTGTAGCGCACAGATGTGAAAGATGGTGATTGGATATTGAAAAGTCTACACCGAGTTTTGTTCTCAATAACCAGCTTGAGAGTACAAAATCGGCAGAAGGGAATTAAAAAGTATATATGTCCGCGAAATGAGAATGGAGGAGGAAAACGACCGTCAATAGGATGAAACGCCTGGGTATTACAGCAGAGAGAGCAACGGATATACAATCCTTACTGCCTTTGACTTGGAGCAAGCCCAACCACCCAGCCGATCCAAACGGTGACCGTGACGGCTGTTCCTCGTATTAAAAAGACCGAGCTATCACGACGCGCTCTGCGACAAGGAAACACGGAAGGGATCAAGGCGCAAAGAAAAGCAAGAATTCAGCAGTGCGTGAAAGGAGGAGGTAAACCAAAATAACAACAAAAAAGAGAAAGGAAAAGAAAAGCATTAAAAGGAGATCAAGAGAAAATGGAACACGATATGAACCTCTCATTGTCCCGGCTGAGCGCCGGCCGCAGGAATCATCGAAGATGCAAAACATCCTTCAGGCAGAGCCTGTGACAGGGCAGGTATCAGAACAGTCAGTCTGTCAGGAAAAAGAGGTTATACACTACTGAACGCCACCAACATCATATTACTACAATATTTCTCATCATCATCAGCTTACTACAACACTCATCTAATACTTGCTTATGCTAGCTCTCTTGGCTCGCACATATATTTTACTATAAATAGCTCTATCTTTTGTATGAAATAGATATAGGAGATAGTGTACAGATAATATAACAAGCAGATCTTGATACAAATAAGATTCATATGTCTCCAACATATTCATCTGTGACACCCAATCCGACAGTTATGAGCCCGGTAAGCAGCATCTGAAGAGAAGTGTGATACATCAATCTCAATCCTCATTCAAATTTGACAACAATCATTTGAACTGAGACAATTGATTCTCATTCATATACAGTCTGATCAACTCAACTGTTATATCAAACACTGATCTCAATCCTCATTTAAACTGATAACTATCATTTGAACTGAGATGATAGATTCTCACTTATATACATTTCAATATACTCAACTGTTATACATTCTGATTTCTGATCATATTCACAAATACTTGAACTGATTCCTCAATTCATTCAATATAACTAATATGACAGACAAGACAATGTCTAGTGCAACTGTACATCTTAGCATTTCTGAAGATTGAAAACTTTGATACAAGCATATGCTAGAATATGCAAAGAATAAGAAGATATCAGACTTCATTAATCTTGACAAATCTGATATCTTCTCTGAACTAGAAGAACCTCTGAAACCTGAGTATTCAGATAAAGCTATCACAGAGATTAAGATAGTATATAATATTAAGATCACTGTGTGAAAAATCAAATATATAAAATATGAGAAATTGAATGAAGATATGATAAAGATATAAGATATTATATGAAGAACAGTGAATATCATAGAGCTATAACATGTATACAGTAAGAATGATAATATAAAGAAGATTATCTATTTATTAAGAGATTGACTCTCACTTACAATCACAGATTATCAAGATAATGTGAGAATCTGATATCATGATCTCTGTAAAGCACTGAAAAATAGAGATATAGAAAAGTAATTAAATAACTGATCATTTATCAAAGATAATATCAAAGAGATAAATATAGCTGAATAGTTCAACTTAAAGAAAGACTTCTTAAATATAAATCTAGCTATTAATACAGAATATATACAAGCATGAATAAAGAATATCTGATATGATAAAGATGTCATATCTTTAATAAAGTTAGTTAAGAACTTCAAGAAATAGTATAGAGAAATGAGTATTCTTAAAGAAGATAAATCTATGAACTTTACTACTCTTAATAGAAGATCTCAGTAATTATTATTAGTGATATTCAGAAACTGTATCTACAGAGTCTGTCACTGATACACTCAGTGCTACTATCTTAATTCATCAAGAAAGTCATCTGAATAGAAGAAAAATAAGAAGAAGAGAACTCAGATTGATCAAGCTCTTAAAAATCAAGAATTGAAGAGATATATTGATTATGTATTATCAAGAGATTTATTAATAAATACAGATATAATAGATGTTAATAAAGCAGTTCTAGAAGATATGATTCTGAAGTAATCAGATTATTAATCTATCAATTATCAATCTATTAATCAGCAGATCTGAAAAATATTAATGAACTCTTTAAATTCACACTTCTATCTCTGAAACTTCTGAATCTTTGATACTGATGCAGAACAGTATATATACAATAATCAAACACATTTTCTATTATTTACATCTGTGAATGAGAATGTAGAAGTCTATACAGATAATTTCAGCACTAAAGTTAAAGATTATAAAACTATTAGAACTATTATAATAAATGAAGTAGAAAAGCAGTTCAATGTAAAACTTATTAACACAGCTTACATTCTGAATTTCTATATAAATATCATCACATGGAAACTGTATTTTCATATAGAAGGCATCTATTATAATGAAAAAGACTTCATATTGTGAAAATGCACAGATAATATAATCTTTACATGTATTAAAGTATTTAAGAGATTGCTAGTTATAGAATATAGTGATATAACTGTTTTCTCAACTATATTGAAAAAATTCATAATTAAAGCTAATGCAGCTATTATATTACATACATCTAATATTACTATATCTGAAAAAACAATATCTTTAAATTCTTCAACTTCTATAAATTCTTCTTCTAATCTGTTAAAATACACTTTATTAAATCATTCTTTCAATCTGTCAATACATATAAAACCTTCTCAAAAACCTAAGATCTCTATAGCTACTCAGTCTACATGATATAAGAGATTAGAATATTCATTAAAAATTATCATTTAAAAGCTTACAAATGATGCAATTAATGTTCAAATCATTAATCTAGAAGATGCTGCAGATGAGCTTATCACTGAGCTTTGTAAACTCTGTTATCTATTTAATGTAAAAAATCAAATATCTAGATATTCTTATATTAGATCTCAAATACCATTTAAACATCTATACACAGATATTATACATGACTCTACACAGTGCTATAATAATGAGTGTTATCTCATACATTTCATGTGTGATTATCTACATTTTCATATAGCTATAACAGCTATTTAAAAATCAAAAATCTGAAAAGCTCTTAGACAAGTTATCAATTGAATTAAATATCAATTCAACTCTACTATAAAGATTATTCATATTAATAATAATACTGTAATCAAGAAAGCAGATGATTTTATAAATTAAGTGAATAATAAAGATCTAGAGATGAAGTATTCTTCAGAGTATATTTATAAGTAAAATAATACAGCAGAGTAAGCAGAAGCAATATTAATAACAAAGATAAGAACTCTATGAATAGAATCTCTTCTGTTATAATCACTTTTCTCTGAGATCACACTTACTGTTACCTATCTAGTGAATTAAATCTCTACTAGAATTCTAGATTGAAAGTCATCTCTATGAGTTTTGAAAGAATTTCTATAAATCAAATCTCACTTCTATACTTATCTTCAAATCTACAGATGTCACATCTATATAAAGATACTGAATAAAGTTCTCAATAGAAACTGCTCTCAGAAGCTAAATCTCTGAGTATATATTAAATATCTAGTTAAATATGATTCTATAAACATCTATCAAATTTGAATTTCACACTTAGAACAGGTGATAAGAGTAAGAGATGTGATATTTAATAAGAATAGAAAATTCAACTCAGAAGATCTCTACATTGAAAGACAATTAAGAGATTAAGTATCTAAGAAGGTGAAGCTTCTATATATAAAAGTTTGAGAATCATCAATGACTTCTATCAATCAATTGAAAGAGATTATAGACACTGCAGATATTAATGTCTTTCATTTCAAAGAAAATACTCAAAGCTCTGAAAAAATAGAGAAGAAAAATAACATTTTAATTCTTTCTACATCAGATTTAACACCAGATTCAATACCAGAGTTAACAGGTTCTGATGTTAATATTAATACTCATTCAGCTGTAATAGATAATTGAACATGAAATATTATATTTAGAGCTTATAATATCAGTGTTGATTTTAATAAAGCTAATATCATTAAAGACTGTAGAACTTAAAAATATAGAGCTGCTCATCTTATAACAGTTTCAATTATTAAAAACAATGCTTATTAAATGATCAATGATGTATTCTCTTATTCAAATTCATACACAGACTTTAACAAGTCTCAAAATTTATTTTCTAATACTGTTTTCATAGTTATTAACAAGACATCTATCTCAACAGTATTAATTTCTTCAAGAATTCATAGATTTCAACTATCAGATTCACTGAATCACTGAGTAGATATCAAAAAACACTCATATTATGAAGAATTTGAGAATGCTGTTAAGAGAGAATAAGATAGTATATCTCTACAGAATATATATAAAATTACTAGCAGATTACAGAGAGATGTCTCAGTTATCTCTCTATAATAAGTATTTATCTACAAATTCAATAATGAAGATTTTCTTTTGAAATACAAAGCTTATATCTGTGTATATGAAGATCTTCAATCAATCACAGATCTCACTATAAAAGCTTATACTCTAGCTATCAGAGATTTCTGAATCTTATTAGCTTTAACAGCAGTATTTAATCTAGATATGAAATAGCTAGATGAAATCAATATCTTTATTAATAGTGATATTGATGAGCTAGTATATATAAAACTATCTGATAAATAATGAAAGTTGAAGAGAGTGTAAAATTTGAAGTGTATAAATCATGTACTAAAACTTCAATAAGTACTATATAAATTATACAGATCACTTCTTCTCTGATTAAATGAACTATCTTTAATATTGAGAATAC